AGTTCTTTGGTTTTTTTGTTTTTGTTAGGATGTCAAGAACCACCGAATCAAAATCAAAATCCAAAACTTTGCAGAACTTTTTCACATTTCTTTTCTATTCCCAGAGAAGTCAGCCTCATCTCAATGAAGTGAAAGTGAATTGTACATTACGATCGACTCAATTAGCCGTTCGTCGATCGTTGTTTTGCTGTCGATGGAGAAAGTCGGGGGTCGTATTCGGGGGATTTATTCCGGAGATTGTATTCGTTGTATTCTCTTTTTGTCTCGATCAGAAGAAAAAGCACTTGCATTGGGTGGTTCTTCAGTCAAGCCAAGAAAAAAGAGAAAAAAGGAAAGAACAAGAGAATGAGATTGGTGACAAGTAGCTCTTCTTTTTTTTTCATTTTCCTTCCTGAGAACCAGCTCATTCTGTCTGAGAAATTGCCATATAAATAGAAAAAGGTACTGGGCGTTGGGCGGTTACACAATCGAGTATTCAATTCAGTGTTTCTTGTGAGGTGAGTTCAATTCTATTCAGTATGTTCCCTTTGAGGAATGTATTTTCTAAATTGGAGAACTAAATTGGATAGGAGAACTAAATTGGAAACTAACAAGTTGGAAACTGCTGTAATCTTTCTCTAGATCTTTTTGCCTATTTACAGCAGTTTGGCTGTAATCTTCGGTCTTGCCCATCTCTACCAATCCCCTTGATTCATCTGATTCGATGCTTTTGTTACCAAATAAGACAACATACTCAAAACCTTAAAATAAAACCCTCTAGTGCACTAAATTCCTTGTTTTTTTAGCAACTTTATTTTATACAAAATAAACATATACAAAATATAAATAAACAAAAAGAATAATTCTAGAAGTGCACAAGAAAGGTTGTGTTTCAAATTTTTGCCTAAACAGCGCAGTGGAATTGAACCAAATCATTGAACCTAATCATTGAATCTAAATCATTGAAACCAAATCATTGAATCTAATCATTGAATCTAATCATTGAACCAAATCATTGAATCTAATCACGAATCTAATCATTGAACCAAATCATTGAATCTAATCATTGAAACTAATCATTGAATCTAATCATTGAAACTAATCATTGAACCTAATCATTGAACCTAATCATTGAAATCCAAATCATTGAACCTAATCATTGAACCTAATCATTGAACGAACCTAATCATTGAATCTAATCATTGAATCTAATCATTGAAAACTAATCATTGAACTCACTCTTGTATTCAAATAATAAAAAAATTCATCTTTTTAATTCTAAATATTCTTTTATCTAAATATTCAAAATATTCTTTTTATCTCTTTTTATCTCTCTTCTTTTTCCATCTCTAACCCTTGACTTTCTATTTTTCTAGCCGATTTTTGAAGACAATTCTTGACGACAATGAAAGATCCGGGTGTTTGTGGATGTCTTGCAGCAATTTTCATGTCATTTGGAGCACTTTTCTTGAGTGTCATTACTACCCAAAGATTGCAAATGATATTGAGGGAATCAAAATCAATTTACAAGTTTGTTTATTTAAAGAAAAAAAGAAGATAAAGAGATCAGGTACACATAATGACGAGTTTGAAATGATCGAGAATGAGGTGAGGCTTGGATTGAAGAGTTTCAATGCGTTTCGTGCGCCAAGAATTGCGAAGAGACAAGCGTATGTATATGAAATTTGTTGTGAGTTTTGCAAATACGTAATCGAAACAGAAAAAACAGAAAAACAGAAAAAACCCCCCACCCCTCTCGTTCAAGAGTACTTGGGCAAATCCTACAACCCCGAAATTTAAAATGCACCTAAGCTACCGTAGTCGAGACGAACGTCCCTTTCCTTCCCCTTCAAAATTCATTCTTTAAAAATCGCTGTCTCGTTCCGACGCTTCGCTTCGTATTTTTCGGCGTTTTTGTTCTTATTTACGCGTTCTTGTTCTTCTTTACGAGTATGTTTGTTTCCCAAAAAAAAAAAAAATTAAAATAAGAAATGAAGAAAAAAAAGATAATTGAAAAATAAAAAAAATATATAAAAAAAAAATTAAAATAATATAAAAATAAATAAAAAAAAAAGGAAAAGAAAAGGAAAATTTTTTATTTTTGATTGGGAAAAAAAAAAAAGGAAAGGAGGAGAAGAGAAAAAAAAAAAAAATAAAAAAAAAAAAAATAAGAATTTATAAAAAGGAGAAAAAAAATAAAATAAAAGAAAAATTAAATATAATGGGAAAAATAAATAAATAAGCGAATATTTTGAACCAATTTAAAAAAAAAATAAAAATATATAAAAAAAAAAAAAAAAAATTATTAATAATTATTGGATTTATTGAATTATAGGCAAAAGAAAACAAAAAAAGTAGAGGAAAGCAGAGGAAAAAGAAGAAAGAGGAAAAAAAAAAGAAAAAAAAAAAAAAAAAAAAAAAAAAAAAAAAAAAAAAAAAAAAAGGAGGAAAAGAAAAAAAAAAAAAAATTATAAAATTAAAAGGAATCAAAAAGAAAAAAAAAAATAAAAAAAAAAAAAAGAAAGGGCTGGGTTTTTTTTTGAGTTGGTAAATCAAAGATTGAAAAAAAAAAAATAAAAGGCTATAAAAATAAAAAAAAGCATTGACAGGGAAGGCATTCTCTATCACCATCGATTTTGTACTTCTTCTTGACGAGCCATTTGTTGAATTCCTTATTTACGCGTTTTTATTTCTTCGTCTATACGATCGTTTTTGTTCTTCTTCCTTACACGTTCTTGTTCTTCTTCTTTATGCACGTTCCTGTGCTTCTTTTCTATCCGGTGATAGAACAATAGTTGCTTTATCTTCTCCGAATATAGAACCTCGGATTGTTTTGTCCTTGCTCCGATAGTGGAGTCCATCTTCATCGTAAAGTTAGCACTCCCCTTTCTGAGATAGCCGACATCCCTAAATTAAAAAATATTTTGTATAGATAACAAAATGGTTACCATTTCTATTCCGTTATAAAATTTATTTATTGTTTATTATTTATTGTTTATTGTTTCTTTTTGTTTATTGTTCAATTACCCTCATTCTTTTAATAGTCCCACCCTTATTTCTCTGTTTCTTTTAAAATTCTTTAGGTTTTAAGGCTTCTGTACTTCTGCCGGTCTGGCTAATTTGAACTTTACGGTCTAAGGTCGAATTTAAAATTCTAAAAGGTCGAAACAAAAAGTCGAATTAAAAAATTTTCCCTTATTAGTTTTGTGTTTTTTTTGTGCATAACTAGGCATAGTAAAGTAAAAAAACTGGTTTTGAATGTACTTTGGCTCTAGATCGTAAAGTTCAATTTAGCCCCCGGTCTTTCCACTTTGTTGCTCTTCGGACCCGTGTCTTTCATATCATCGATAAAATTATTAAGAATCTAAAAATCTTTTCTCTATAAACGGCCAGTCAATCGAACCCAAGTCAATCGAACCCAGCCGCGAATCGTCTTGTTATTCCTCTTGTTATTGTTATTTCGCAAATCATTTGGAATTAGGGTTTCTGGATTAAAAGATTTAGCAGTTTAAATAAGATTTCGACCCAGAATTTGAATGTTTCACCCCGTAATACGTTACTCAAGAATGTTTTTTGCAAACTTTATGAAAATATAACCTTTTCAGCTTGCGCCTATGAGAATCCCTGCCCGGCTGGTCCGCGCGGTCGATCTGGTGAACCGGGAATGGATGGAGTACCGGGAATGCCCGGGATGAACGGAGAAGTCGGACGACCAGGCATTACACCACATTTCGAGAGAAAATATTACGCTCGTGGCTGCCGCGAGTGTCCAAAAGGACCGATGGGACCACCTGGATATCCGGGAGATATCGGAGAGATGGGAATGATTGGAGAAATGGGAAAACCGGGAATGAAAGGACGAGATGGAGGATTGGGAATACAAGGAAATATGGGAGAAACGGGAGAGGATGGGGTACAAGGGGAAGATGGAGAGAGCGGAATCCCGGGAAGGGATGGAGTCAAAGGGGAAAAGGTTGGCTTGTTAACTCGACAAGTTGTTGAAATTCTGAAACCAATAAAATAGGAAAATTTCAGGGACTTGCTGGCGAGCCGGGAATACGTGGAGAACCCGGGCAGCCCGGGCAAAACGGTTATCCGGGTGATGATGGGAAAATGGGTGAACCGGGAATTATTGGAATGAGCGGAGAGATGGGGATCAGTGGACAACCTGGATTTGATGGATATCCTGGATTGCCTGGGCTAGATGTAAGTGGAATTTTAGTCTTCAAAACTTTGACTAGTCAACCTAGCTTCAGATCCAGCCTGGCCTCTCGTTTTTTTCGGTTATCGGACATTTGATACGCGGCCCCTTTTCCCATTGGCTATCTAACTTAGAGCTCATTTTGTACAAGTTTAAGACTAAAAAGGAAACACGCCATGCACATCAATACGCCCATGATCTTGATCAAATTTAGTAAACTGTAAAAATAATCTAGAAAGTTTGTTTGTTTGTTTGTTTGTTTGCTTGCTTATTCCAACTCCTATGCAGTGCTTTCTTGACGATTTTTTTCATAAACCAATTTTGAGAGCGGTAAACGACTGCGAGCAAGCTCAAAAGTCCCCATAAATGTACAGTAAATGGTGCTCAAAATGAAGTTGTTATTCGAGCAATAACAAATCTCATTATCAAATCAAATCAATCAAATCAATCAATATCAAAATCAATATCGATATCAATATCAATATCGATATCAATATCAATATCGATATCAATATCAAAACCAATATCAATATCAATATCAAATCTATTTCTAGGGTATCCCAGGCGAGGATGCGAATTATTGTCATTGCCCCCGTCGATCAACAAAAGCCAAATCTGTTCGTCGTTGGTGATTTCAAACAAATAAATAAATCAATCACAATTTATCTAAATTTCTCAAAATGCACATTGTAAGATCAATGAGTGAGTGGGGTATTTGGTGGATAAATGAATTTTTAATAAAAAAATGATTTGGTCGTGTAAATGCAAGATTTGGTATTGAAAACTGGATCACAAAGTTAGCTGAGAAAAAACAAAATTATATATGTCTTTTCTGGAAATTTTCGACTCGTTTCCGATGAACTCCCAACATTCCGAATGGGACAAAAAATTGTTTAAATAGCCATGGACTGATGAGAGAACACAAGGCTATCTGAAAATGAAGAAAGAATGAAAACAATGAAAAGAATTGCTCTCGAGATAGATCTATTCTTTTTATACAGATATATTAGATATCAGCCGCTCTAAAGAATGCTCAGCTACTGTAATCCGATGGTTTGTAGACGTTTAGACGTTTTGTAGACTTTTAGACGTTTTATAGACGTTTAGACGTTTCTTTTAAGTTTAATGTTTTAGTGGTAAGCTTGCGTTACTGTAAATAGATGAATTGCGTTACCGGCTATGAAGTTGAGGCCCAGTAAAAAGCTGGACCTAGCTGAGGCCCAGTAAAAGCCCCAGTAAAAGTTGCTTCACATTTTCTTTGCTTTTAATCTTTTTAAATCTATTTCTTTAGCTTTTTTCTTTCTTTCTTACATTTTATTTTGTATGTTGCTTTAAAATAAACCTGCAAATCGTGCTGCCAACAACCACAAATCAACTCGAAATTGCCGATTGCGTGAACAGCTTGTTTCGCAAAAGTCTCGGTTGAAACGACGAAAATATCGTTGGCTTCGGATTTATCATAACTCGCTAAGCTTGTAGCCACCAACATTGGAACCAGACACTAAATAAGTACTTTGTACTTTGTAAAAGCTGTTTATGCTATCGAAGAAAGAAAGAAAGAAAGAAAGCTAGCTAGCTGTTTATGCTAACAAGAAAGAAAGAAAGGAAGGAAGGAAGAAAGAAAGCTAGCTGTTTATGCTAAGAAAGATAAAAGTTGGCTTGAAATAAGACACGGTTTACCAGCAAGTCTAGTGTTAAAAAGGTAAAAATTGTTAGTGGAAAAGACTTTCCTTAAAGGAGTACTGAATCTAATGCTTGCAGAGTCGAAACTCTGGAAGTAAATCAAATCAAATTAAAGAGTGCAAGTTAAATAATGATTCTAAACAAATGAATGCCAGCTTCTAAGGGAGGATGAGAAAAAAGATCTCTTTCTTTCCTCTCTTCCTCCTCTTTCTCTCTTCCCCTAAAGGTCTCTCTTTCCCTCTAACGTCATAATTTATTAGGGTGGTGCAAAAGAAACAGCCGATGGGTATCAGCTCTCATTTATCAGAAACGAGCGATGCTAACGGCATTATGATGAGGTTCGTAACTGGGTGCTCAACTATTTTGAGTCCCAGGAGTCCCAGTTCTTCGATGATGGCATTCGGTCTCTTCGCGTTCGATGGAGGAAAGTCATCGATGCTTGTGGTGAATATTTCAATGAATAAAGATTTCTCACTTTGATGTTATGTTTTTTTTTAAATTTACCGTCAAATCGGCAGTTTCTTTCGCACCACCCTAACTAGAATGTATATTTATAATAATATTCCACAATATAGTTGAGTTTTGAGTTCAAAATTGTTAGAATAAACCTGAATTTTGACATTTGTGTCTCGGAATTCATCGGTGAGTGCATCGGTGAAGAAAGAGATTGCAGCTTTTGATGCCGGATAGGAACTCGTGTAGGGAAGAGGACGCCAGCCCTGGAAAGAGATTTTTGAATAGGAATTACAGAACTTTTTACATTGGCTATTTATAGATAACTACCATAGCTTTATAGATAGCTACCGTATTCTTTGTGCTTTCTAAAACGTGGACTCTTAGAAAATCTGCTGTAGTCCAAGAACCAAGAACTCCAAGAATTCCAAGACATTCCAAGAACTTCAAGAACTCCAAGAACACCAAGAACTCCAAGAACACCAGGAACTCCAAGTACTCCAAGTACTCCAAGAACACCAAGAACTCCAAGAACAAGAACTCGAAGAATTCCAAGAACTCCAAGAATTCCAAGACATTCCAAGAACACCAAGAACACCAAGAACTCCAAGAACTCCAAGAACTCCAAGAACTCCAAGAACTTCAAGAACTTCAAGAACTCCAAGAACACCAAGAACTCCAAGAACACCAGGAACTCCAAGTACTCCAAGTACTCCAAGAACACCAAGAACTCCAAGAACAAGAACTCGAAGAATTCCAAGAACTCCAAGAATTCCAAGACATTCCAAGAACACCAAGAACACCAAGAACTCCAAGAACTCCAAGAACTCCAAGAACTCCAAGAACTTCAAGAACTTCAAGAACTCCAAGAACTTCAAGAACTCCAAGAATTCCAAGAACTCCAGGAACTCCAAGAACTCGAAGAACTCCAAGAACTTCAGGAACTCCAGGAACTCCAATAACTCCAAGAACTCCAATAACTCCAAGAACTCCAAGAACTCCAAGAACTCCAAGAACTCGAAGAACACCAAGAGCTCCAAGAACACCAAGAACTCCAAGAATACTCCTTTGTTTTCTTAGTTTTTCATTCTGTTCAACTCATTTATGATTAGAACTTTTGCTTTCTTCAGAGAGCTATAAAATTGAGTTGAGAAATTCGTAAGAATGGATTACGATGATTCGAGAGAAAGAAAGAAAGAAAACTAGAACCCAATAAGACCCAATTACACCCAAGAAGCACATGTTTTTCTCTGAAAACAACAAAAATCAGGAAAGCTTTTTCGAAATGGAATAAAAGGAGCGAAAGAAAGAACACAAATCGAATTGTTGATGGAGAAATTGATGGAGAAATTGAGGAATTGAGGAATTGAGTACCGGAATTGAAATAAGGATTACAAGTCGGATCACTGAATTGGTAACACTATTTATGGTCAGCTTGCAAATGAATGCTTTCCTTTTCATGTTTAGTCAATGCTTTCTTTTTCATGTTTAGTCAATGATTACTTTCACTTTAAAAGTCTCCATGTATTCTTTGATCTTTTAACCCTTGAAAATTCAAAGGTTTGAACAAAATCGCAGTGTTTGGTCAGAGTTGGACCGGTTCTTTTATGGAATTGAAATGAATTGAAATTGAATTGAAATTGAACAGAAATTGAACAGAAATTGAATTGAAATTGAATAGAAATGAATAGAAATTGAATTGAAATGAATAGAAATGAATAGAAATGAACAGAAATTGAATTGCGACTAGTCAACACCGGGAATCGAACCCGCGAAGCGTCAAACCAATCGCTTCGCAAGCGAACGCTCTACCAATGAGCTCTACCAATGAGCTACAATGAGCTACAATGAGCAACGCTTCGCATGGTCGCCAGGAAAGGGCCTTAGGATTGTATATTTCGGTGTGTGTCCCTTGTCCCCCTTTTGTCCCACTAGCTTTCCCCCTTGCCAGAGGCATTTTGGATTTTTCTCGATACAGAATTTATCAATTTGACTGTTTTTGGTTTCATTGGATAGAGGACAAATAGACGCATCGCATAAGACCAAAAACAGTCAAATTAATAAATTCTGCGTCGAGAAAAATCCAAAATGCCTCTGGCAAGGGGGGACAAAAGGGGGACACCGAAAAGACACCAAGGGGGGACACCGAAATGTATATCCAGGATCTCCTTTACTTCAGGATCTCCCAGGTTTTTGGTTTTTGAGGGTTTAAAGTGAAAGACGAAATCTTCCGTATTCATTTCTCATTAGATTTCATCTGCATATTCTTAGAACTTTTCTAAAAAAGTTCTAAAAGATAAAATTATTAAAAAAAGATTATGGAACTTGCTCCCAAACGACATACGAGAAATTCAGTCGCTTTTCATATTCAAGAAACGTATCGATGCTTTAGATCTAGTGGCTCTTTGCCGTAAGTAATTGGCTTATTGATTTCAGTATGTATTGTATTGGGTTGATGCATAATTATCCGGACTTCTTTTTGCGTGCTTGTATCTTTTTGTTTTGAAAGCTTTTGTCTATTTCTTTTTTTAAATATTCGTTATTCTTTAGTGAACAAAATGCGTGTCGACAATCATATCCATCTTCGCCATATCATGCTCTACCACTTCGAAAAGGGATGGTCTGCCGCAGAGTCGTTTCGCGATCTCAAAGAACTGGAGAAGCCCCAACGGACTACCACGTCAATCGATCGCTCAAAAATTGGCAAACAAATAAGATCTACAACGATTTGGATGACTTGATAGACGATGTTAAAGCGTGGATTGCCTCCAAAGATCGTTTATTCTTCGCTCGTGGAATCGATCGTCTTCCAAGCAAATGGCAATCAGTTATTGATGTAGGCGGTGAATATGCTCCAGAATAATCAATTAAACATATTTTTCTAACTATTTATGTTATTTTTTGTTAAATAAAATCATTTATAAAAGAAGTCCGGATAATTATGCATCAACCCAATATGATTAAGTATCACTGTGCATTTCTCTATGATTTCTTTCACTTTATCGTTTGAATAAAGTATTATTATAAAAGCTTTTCTAAAAGATCTAAAAGTAATTTGGGAGATCACCGTAAACTTTCCTTCAAGTTTTCCCCTTTCTATTACTTTATTTTGATTACATTTGCTTTAAAGCATTGCTTTAAAGCATTGCTTTATGCTTTATTTTGATTGCATTTGCTTTAAAGCTTGATTTCTTGTTTAATCAAATCGAATTCATTGTAAATTGGACAAGAAAAAGAAGGACAAAATCAGGAGAACAAAATGACGGTAGTCTTTCAATCTTCCCATGCTTTAGAAAACGTATTGCTAACGAGGAACTAGAAATGAGCGTTAAAAACCACAAAGACTGACTACAAAGCATTGTAAAAACGTGTAGAATCGATATTTTGAAAAAGTTTTTTCAACAAAAAATCCAGAGCCAACTTTCGGGCTTTCGAATGACACAAAAATCAAGCCAAGTAATGTTTTGAGCACTGAGATATATAGCTTTTTGCGTTTGTAGTTTGGAAAGGACTACAAACGGCTATAAATGCCTCGTTCTCGGAGTACAAATCGTGGATTTTCTTGGTTTTATTTTCATTCGAAAGCCTATTGTTTGCGGAATTTTTTGGTAAAAAAAGTTTTAAAAAAATATTGATTCTACGCAGCTCTACAATGGTTTTTAGTCTGAACTTGTAGTTTGTAAGGCTGATTTCTACTTTTTAAGCACTATTTCTGGCTTTCGCTTTCTTTTCCACTAACAATTTCGGCACACTAACCCTTGCCAATCAATCGCTCGGCAAAGGAAATTGAGTACACCAGAAAGGGTACGTTTTTGGCTAGTTTATAAAGCTGATTTCGACTTTGTAAGCACCATTTCTGGCACACTAACCCTTTCGAGTCAATTGTTGGGCAAAGGGAATTGAGTACACCAGAAAGGCTACGTTTTTGGCTAGTTCTGGCTAGCTAGGCTGACTTCTAGTTCCTCGTTAGTAATACGTTTTCTAAAACATTGGAAGATTGAAAGACTAGCGTAATTTTGTTTTCCTTGTAGCTACCGTAAATACTGTAATAGTACCCCAGCCCCATAATGACGGTGCGGAGTCTTGCGTAGCTCTAGCTTTGAACGAGTGTTTCTCGACACTGGCTTATGCTACAATGCTCGCTTAGGTATCAAAAAATAGCTGAGATTCAGGGCTATTTTTTGATACCAAAGGCGACTCATAAATGATCCATCGACGACCAGTTTTGTGATCTGAGAAAATGGAAAAAAAGAGCTGTCTAGATTCATTGAGTGGAATAAAATTGGATAACTGTTACTGGATAAAACTAGTTGAATAGGTGAATAACTAACTGGATAGACTAACTAGTTACTGGATAAATAACTAACTGAATAACTACCGTAAATACTGTAATAGTAACCCCACCCCCATAATGACGGTGCGGAGTGCTGCATAGTCTCGCTTTGAACGAGTGTTTCTCGATACTGGTTTATGCTACAATGCTCGTTTAGGTATCAAAAAATAGCTGAGATTCAGGGCTATTTTTTGATGCCAAAGTGCGCATTGTAGCATAAAGTAGCGCAGAGAACGGGATGTTTAAAGTTAGACTACGCAACCATCCCGAAAAAACGCGTTTTTCTCGACACTGGCTTATGCTACAATGCTCGTTTAGGTATCAAAAAATAGCCCTGAATTTCAGCTATTTTTTGATACCAAAGACGCATTTTTGAAAGTACGGGCGCTTTGAAAAAAATGAAATACTAAAAACTACGCGACTGTACGAGGGGGGTGGGGTACTATTAGAGTATTTACGGTAGTAGTTTTTGTAGAGTTCATGTCTAGAAACGCTAACTCACAAGGGTTATAAGCGCAGAAGTTTACGGATAGTTGCACAGGCCACGAAGTATATTTGATTGCCAGTTTGGTTTCAATCTAGAGAAATTGAATGATCCCGACTAGGAGAGAAGAGGAATTCTCTTGCGTTGCAGCCATTCCTGTGTGCAACTATCCGTAAATCAAAGCGCCATCAAAAATCAAACAAACTGTGGTAGAGGTTATCAATTTCTGGTCTGTCGTGGCCCAGGTCGTGGCCCAGGTCTCTGTCCCGTAGCAGAGCGCCGGGAGGACGGTGTTGTCAAAATTTTGTAGGGGAATCACAGAAAACAAACTTTGAACGAATAAGTTGACTTACCAGAGAGGGAACAGATTTCGTGGTGGCCGAGTGGCAGTGGGTTTGTACGAATTTGAAGCAAGGGTTCGAGTCCGACGAGCTCGAATTTAAAGTCTGTTCCGACGAGCTCGAATCCTATGCTTTGACTCCGGCGTCTTGCTTTTGCTTTTGCTTCTTTTAACTTTGAATGGTTTGAGTGTTTTTGGTGATGTTGGATGCTCATCATTGATTGGATCTGCCAGAGAAACGGTGTGCCAGATGCTGTACGATTGTGGTGCGGATTGTACGACGAAAATAAAGCCTAAAGAAAGCCTGTTTGCTGGCTGTTGTCTGTTGGTTCGAAAGCTAAAAGAAGCAAAAACAAAAGGCAGATGCCGGACTCGAACCCTAGAGGTTTTGGCTGGAATTGAAGCCGACTGCCACTCAACCACCACGACAGCTTTTCCTCTCTGGTAAGTCAAGTTATAAGCTGCCTGTTTTCTGCGATTGCAACTTTGAGTGGCAACTTTGAGTGCAGATAACTTTTGACAGAGTGCTGCATTTCAAAAACGGAAAGCAGATTCAGAATGAGCGCAAAATTCTACGTCAGTTAGTATGGTCACGAAATCGGTGTTCCATTTGCTGTACGATTGTGGACGCAAATAAAGCTTTGATTGGCTGTTGGCTGTTGATTGGCTATTGATTGGCTGTTGATTGGTTGTTGATTGGTTGTTGATTAGCTGTTGATTGGCTATTGATTGGCTGTTGATTGGCTGTTGATTGGTTGTTGATTGGCTGTTTTCTGTTGCTGTGCTAGTTGAAATTCTCTTGTCGCTGACAAAGCTGTCGCTGACAAACGCTGACAATAGTATGAGCAAATCTCTCCTACAATTCTCTTTTTACTTGTTTTCCCTTTTCTCTCAAATCCCCAAAGATATTTACGTGGAATTGTTGATGAGGTAATCAAAAGGAATAATTTCATGCTTTTTCCATTAGTAAATGATCAAAATATGTGCATTCATTGCAGAGAAAAGGCTATTTTTATATTATTTTGTTTTGATTGGGTTTAGTTGGCTTATTTCTAGCTTCATTTAGCTCCATTTAGCACAAATCATCATCATTTCAAAGGCTCAGCTCTCAAATTCTGAAGTTCTTTAGCTAGCTTCTTTCGCTAGCTCTTTAGCTCTAGCTTTAGCTCTAGCTTTAGCTCTAGCTTTAGCTCTAGCTTTAGCTCTAGCTTTAGCTCTAGCTTTAGCTCTAGCTTTAGCTCTAGCTTTAGCTCTAGCTTTAGCTCTAGCTTTAGCTCTAGCTTTAGCTCTAGCTTTAGCTCTAGCTTTAGTTCTAGCTTTAGCTCTTGAATTCTTTCTTTCTTTCTTTCTTCTTACTAACATTTTTATCGTTTAGCATTAAGAAAATGTTAATTCTCTTTAGAAATTAAAGGATTTCTCTAATGAAATCCATCTTTTTTCTCTTTTTTCCTTGAATTTCATTAATGATTTCCGTTTTTTTGTCGAAATTTTCGTTCCCAAATGAAATTGAATAGAATTTCAATTCAATTAGCCCTTTTCTTTAGTGCAATTCTTTAGTGAATCTCAAAAATATCAACAAATTCTCTTTCCTTAGCTTTAGAGGATGATGTGAGAAACGGATGTTCTATTCAATGTTGAAGAAAGGAAGACTGAGGAAGAAGGGAAGACGGGAAGAAGAAGAAGAAGAGGGAGAAGAAGGAAGAAGAAGAAGAAGAAGGAGAAGAAGAAGGAGAAGAAGGAAGAGGGAAGAAGAAAGGAAGAAACGAAGGGAAGACTAGAATTTCTCTTGCTTTTATTCTAATCATCCTTTCCCTTTTCACAATCAGACTTTTCTTGATTTAGACCCATGTATAGATTTGAAAAGATTCAAACTTTTGAATACTCTCAGCTTGAAAACCGGGCCGGCTTTCAAGCCCCTTAAAATATAATATAGCCAATACTATATTATATTTTAAGACTTTAAGACTGTTTCTCAGCTGCTTTTTGGCCCGTTTTTGACCCACTTTAATTCTTTTTCTCAGCTGTTTCTCAGCTGTTCGAGAAAAAGCCCCTACAGACGAATGGACAGACACTGCTCCTGCATATAGTAGACCACCAGCTTCCCAGCAAAAAAAGAAGCGAGAAGCAAAAGCTTTTTTGAAGTGAAAAGCAAAAGAATTGGCGGCGAGAGGAGTCGAACCCGCGACCTCTCTCATTCGCTCGTTTGAGAGACGCGCGTGTTAACCACTCGGCCATGCTTGGGAGATCGAGTGCTCGGTCACTCGGCCATGTCATAGTGCGAGCGCTCTTGTCTCTAGCCCATACGATTCGGGTTCGACTCCCGCTACCGCAGACAGGCAGGCAGACAGACAGACAGGCAGGCAGACAGACAAACATAGGCAAGAAAAAAAAAAGAAGAAAAAGAAAAAGAAAAAAAAGAAAAAACAGACAGACAGACGGACAGGCAGGCAGGCAGCAGACAGGCAGACAGACAGACAGACAGACAGACAGACAGACAGACGGACAGGCAGGCAGGCAGGCAGGCAGGCAGGCAGACAGATAGACAGACAGACAGACAAACAGACAGGCAGACAGGCAGACAGGCAGACAAACAGATAGACAGACAGGCTCAGACAGACGATCCGGGTTCGACTCCCGCTACCGCAGACAGACAGACAGACATCTTTTTAAATAGTAAATCACGAACCGTCATCGATGACATATTCACGATGATCCCTCGATCTTTTTCAATCATTTTTGGCAACACCAATTCGTTCATCTGAATAAGAGATTTGAGTTTGATGAGATTTCGGCTAATACTTATGTATACACATGAACATTTTCCGATTTCTCTGAGCAACCAAGCCAATTGTTGGCCAAAACTCGCTGATTTTAGCCTGAAACCAGGCCAAAAACTTCAGCAATAGCTCTTTCCTTTCGATTTACTAGCTTTACTTCAATCTTTTGTAATAAAAGCACTCACTCTGACACAGCTGATCGTGTTCACTTGCATTATCCTGGACGCCAATCCCTCTTCTTGTTCCACCAAATTCCCCACCATTCCCGGGGCCAAACCGGCAAAATTTACTGAAGAAAATGAAACTTTAATTATCTTTTGAAGTCTTTAAACCCGTTTTAAATTATATTCTAGTAAAGTAAACGAAAAATGACTTAAAACCCTCAATTTTCTTATTGAAAATTGCAGAATTGAAGGTGTTTGGATAGTTTTTTTTTTCGAAAACTTATTCCGACTTATAAAGTTCCAATTTTTGTTGTTTCTTTGTCATTTTCATATTCTTCGCGAACATTCGAACGTACACAAGATTCCGATATCGAGATCTTTCAACTCGTTTGTCAGTTCAGCCCAATCGCCTCCATCAAAATCGAAAATTATCGTTTTCACTTCGCATTTGAAGTCTTTTTCTGAATTTTATAGTTTTATTGATTGATTGAAAAAACAGCTACAAAAAGAGTTTAAAAGCAGATTTTAAGATAGAAATAACCAGTCCCAGTGTACTGGAATGTCCCAGTGTACTGGAATGTCCCAGTGTACTGGAATGACCAGTTCCAGTGTACTGGAATAACCAGTCCCAGTGTACTGGAATGTCCCAGTGTACTGGAATGTCCCAGTGTACTGGAATGTCCCAGTGTACTGGAATGACCAGTTCCAGTGTACTGGAATGACCAGTTCCAGTGTACTGGAATAACCAGTCCCAGGGTACTGGAATAACCAGTCCCAGTGTACTGGAATAACCAGTCCCAGTGTACTGGAATGTCCCGGTGTACTGGAATGACCAGTTCCTTGACTATGACTATTATAACTAGAAATTTAACTATAAAATAATCTCTGATATCATTATCTTCCTCAAACCTACAAAATAATGACTCAATAATGACTCAAACCTACAAAATAATGACGCTTTCCACAAAAGCTAAAAAAAGCTACAAACAGCTACAAAAAAGCTACAAAAGGCTACAAAAGCTCCAAACCTTGGCTACAAAAATGACTAATCACTACAAAATGATGTTTTCTGTTTCCAAAATAATCTCTCTTTTATTTTTAGATTCAAATCTAACGAATGCCCCCAAAACCAAAACAACGAATGCCCCCAAAACAGCCAAACAGCCATTTCCCCTCTTTGCAATTTCAATATTCAATTCCCAATCGTTTCCTTTTCAAATTCAATCTAAATCTAACAATTCAATCAATTCAATCAATTCAATCAAAAAATCAATCTACCAGTGTCAACTTCTTGCTGAATTCAACATCATTATCTAATGCATTCCCTCAAACCCTCAGAAATGTCATTGTTGCAATCATTTCCCCTTTTTCTTACTCAATTCTGTCTCAATGATCGTCAATTTCTGAGCATTTCTTCCAATTAAGACAAAGCGTCGAATTCCTCGAGATCGAGCCATTTCCAATGTATACGCTTTTCCAATTCCATCCGTTCCACCAGTCACCACTAAAATTATCTTTTTTTTTACCTCTTTACCTCTTGTACCTCTTGATAAATGTTGTTAAACGTTTCTTTTTGATTTTAAGCTCTTCTTCTAAAACTAGCTCTTCTTCTAAAACTAGCTCTTCTTCTAAAACTAGCTCTTCCTTCTAAACTAACTACTTCTTCTTAAACTAGCTCTTCTTCTAAAACTAGCTCCTCTTCTTAAACTAGCTCTTCTTCGCCTCTGCTGATTATAATTTCTTCTTTTTCTAAACTTAACAGAATCTTAACTTGATTCTTAAGTTAAAAAACCGAATCTTAAGTTAAAAACCGTTTATTTTAAGCTCTTCTTTTTTTATACAAAAGCCTACAATAAACAGGAAATTGTTTGCTGTATCAATGCTGAAGTATTCAAAAGAATTTTGGTAAAATCTTGAAATTGGTTGTCTGGATAAGTTTCTTGATCTTTTCATCGGTTTCACGATAGTTCTATTTCACACTTTTTTTGTTTGTGTCTCCTAAACGGTGCTCCTTTATCGGAAAAGTTTCTTTTCTGGGGGTGGGACAAATGCGACCTTTTTTGCGGTGGGACAAATGCGACGAATGCGACCTGGACATTTGCGCACCTTTTTACTGGAAAAGACCTTAGGGAAGGTCGTAGAGCTTCAAAAATGTATTCATAGGAGGAAGTCGTAACGTAGATTCTCCCGAATTTGATCAGACCTCGATCACACGTCAAATTTGGGCTAAAAGGCAAAACTACGCAACTTAACGCTTTTCCGCAGTTTTTGCCTTTTAGCCCAAATTTGACATGCCAGCGAGGTCTGATTTGTTGAAATTCGGAATCTACGCATACGATTCCCTTATACGGAAACATTTTCGAAGCTCTACGACCTTTCCTAAGGCCTTTTCCAGCAAAAAAAAGGTGCGCAGATGTCCAGGTGCGCAAAAAAGGTCGCACTTGTCCCACCCCCTTTTTTAGATATATAGTAGCTACAAGATCTTTGTTTCTTTTTAGCCCTAGCATAGTATTTCATTCATAACTTTTTCTTTTGCTCAAAAATTCTATTCTATAATGATATCGTTTTATTCCAAAGATCAGTCTATTCATCAAGATTCACCCTTTTCTCATTTCCAATGTCTTTTTGTTATCTAATAGATGTTATTATTCTTATAATGTACCAACTCAGACAAAAAACGAAAATATTTATAGAGTTCTTTCATAAAAACCTTTCAGAAAGATTTTTTATAAAATCCGCGTTTTTTTCTGAATAAAATAGATCTTTATATTAGTATTTTTTTAGTAGAAATCTATGCTTTTAAAGTTTTGTTTATTTAAAGCGTTTAAAGTTTAGGGTTTAAGGTTTAAAGCGCTTAAAGTTGAGGGTTTAAAGCTCTTAAAGTTGAGGGTTTAAAGCTCTTAAAGTTGAGGGTTTAAAGCGCTTGAAGTTGAGGGTTTAAAGCGCTTAAAGTTCGAGGTTTAAAGCGCTTAAAGTTCGAGGTTTAAAGCGCTTAAGTGGTCGGTTGATAGGCGCTTAAATCACTCAAAGACTTTGCAAATGATATGCTTTGTTTGACTCTGATCTCTGATTTCACTTTCGATCTTTGTGTGACTCTATCTCTCTTCATGAATCTCTCCATGAACTCCTTCATGAACCTCTATGAATCTCTTGAATGAACCTCATGAATTCTTGAATCTCTTGACGGATCTCTTCATGAATCTCTTCATGAATCTCTTCAATCTCTTCCCCATGAACCTCTTCATGAACTCTTCATGAACCTTTCATGACCTCTTGAATCTCTTCATGAATCTCTTCATGATCTCTTCAATCTCTTCATGAATCTCTCCAATCTCTCCATGAAACTCTCTTGATGAACCTCTTCATTGAATCTCTTCACAAACCCTCTTCAATCAATCATTTCTTCATCTTCCCACCTGTCCATGTGTCTCTCAAATGTAAAATATCCATTTCGGGCATCACTCGATGAACAAAAAATGATTTCGAGATGATGTACAAGCATTTCATCACTCGGAATGTCACATAGGCTTTTGGCCAGAAATGAAAAATATGAATTGAAGAAAAACCACGGAAAATACCTAAATCTTCTAGTTTAACATCTTCATAGTTTAACATCTTCTATAGTTTAACATCTTCATAGATCTCTATATATGAAAACTACTTTTCCAACCCTATATTTTTTCCAATTTTGGACTTGTTTCACTCTTTTGTTTTTCTGATCTTCGATTCTCCTCTTTTTCCCCTTCTCCCCCTCCTCTTCTTCTTCCCTCCTCCTCCTCCTCCTCCTCCTCCCTCCTCCTCCTCCTCCTCCTCCTCCTCCTCCCCCTCCTCCTCCTCCTCCTCCTTCTTCTTCTTCTTCTTCCTCTTCTTCTTCTTCCTCTTCCTCTTCTTCTTCATCTTCTTCCTCTTGACGCTCGCCGAAAATTCGGATTTTTAATGAGCTTTCACCCGACTTCTTCTTCATCTTACTCTTCTTCTTCTTCTTTCTCTTCTTCTTCTTCCCCCCCCACCCTTCTTTGGAGTGTATCTTTGTATTCAAAACATAACCCCTTCTTGAGCACTCATTTCTTTACTTTTCTGACATCGAGAGCTTATAAAAGTTAGAAAATTATACTATAAAACTTATAAAAATGCAGAATTTTGTTATAAAGTTATAAATTGTGCCGGAAAAGTTATAAATTTAAAGTTATTTTTGCTGGAAAGCTTACAAGGGAAGGTCAACGAAATCAGGGTGGCCAATCGAAATGAGGCCTTGGGACCATCCGATACAGGATTTTGACGCTGTTTCCGAATCTGCTTCTCATTTTTGCTAAATAGCTCGGAATCAGAGGAATTTGGCAAACAAGTTTTTGACCTCTTATAACGCTTCTAGCGCGCATGACAAAGAAATGGTTGTGTAGTTGCCATCTTTGTTAAACTTTTTGTTTTATATTTATATTATTTGTTGTTGAACACTTATCATATTCTCTCTAATAGTAGTGCACCCAAAGCTTCGCCTAAATTCCTCGAAATCTCGGAGAACCGCTCATCAAGAACCGATCGATGTGGGAGCCGGAAAATGTAGCTGACGATGAGATCTAGTGGGATTTGGAGTGTTGAGCTTCTGGGAAAAGCTTGGGAACTGTAAAATGGTCGTCAACTCGGCTCGGCGGGAACGAAGAGAGGGGAGGATTAGGGGGACACTACAAAACAGCTGTTCAAAAAAAGAAAAACTTTGAACAAGGGAGTCGAACATTTGACCTAAAGCTTTGCATTCGAACGCGTTATCTACACTACGACTCTTTTGTCATGCGCGCGCAAGCGTTATAAGAGAGGTCAAAAAAAAACTATTTTGTCAAATTCCTTGCGATTCCGACCTATTTAAGCAAAAATGAATTCGAAAACAGCGTCAAATTCTGCATCGGATGGTTTAGATCTCATTTCGATTGGCTATTGATTGGCTATTGATTGGCCATGGATTGGCTATTGATTGGCTATTGATTGGCCATTGATTGACCATCGATTGGCCATCGATTGGTCATTGATTGGCCATTGATTGGCCATTGATTGGCCATTGATTGGCTATTGATTGGCTATTGATTGGTCATCGATTGGCCATTGATTGGCCATTGATTGGCTATTGATTGGCCATGGATTGGCTATTGATTGGTCATTGATTGGCCATCGATTGGCCATTGATTGGCTATTGATTGGCCATCGATTGGCTATTGATTGGTCATCGATTGGCCATCTTGTTTTTATGACCTTCTCTTGTTAGTTTGCACTCTTAAGAACAAAAATCTGAGAAGAAATTAAACGAGTGCTTAAAAAGCTTAAAAAAAAGTGTTAAACTTTGGAAAAAGCTTAAAGGAAAAAGCTCAAAAAAATAGAAAAACACTTTTCTTTGTTGCTTTAATAGTCTCTCTTTTGATTTGAGGTTAAAAAAAAGCTGAATCGATTGCAGCAGAAAGGGTTTGTTTCTACACAAACCCTCACACAAAACTCACACAAAAAACAAAACACAAGAACAGTTTCAGTTCAGTGATTCATTCAAATAAAGATAAGACAAGATAGAGATATATTTTGATAATTAAAACTAATTTAACAAGTAAAATCATAAAAAAAACAATCAATTTCTGTTTTATTTCTGATTTTGTGACAAAATTTCGATTTTGAGAAAAAAAAAAAAAATTTCTCATTTTCTTGTTTCACAAGAAAGAAAAATACTTGTTAAAGATCTGAAAAAGTAAAAAAAAAACTCGTCTAAGTCTAAAAAGTCGTCTTTAATGATTGGAAATTCGAAATTAGAAATGTTTTTATGCAATTATTGATTAGTTTTTATGAAGTTAATGATTAGTTTTTATGAAATTTCTGAACGATTAAAAATAATGACTCATTGATTTATGGAAAACATGAAAATAAAGGAGATTTTACCTCAGATTTTTACCTCAAAAGAATCAAAAACAGGTTCAATTTCGAAATTGAAATGGATTTTTGAGGGAAAAAAAGAAATTCGATCGTTTAAGGTCATTCGAATCACTTCGGTTTTCGAGAAAATTTTGTCTTTTCGGCGAATACAAGATTTTCTGTATTTCCGGAGACTTCTTTTTGTTAGATTAGTTCCCAGGCGCCAAATTCAACGCAAATGTGTTAGATGTTGTGGAGAATGTTGAAGCCCTGAATCTTGGCTACATTTTGCTACCAAAAGCTTCCCGATTGAAGCTATACAACTCATTTTACAAGCAAAAAATGACAGCATGCTGGTGAGGGATCAACTAGTCATTCGAGGGCTTGTAAAATGAGTTGGATAGCTTCAATCTGGAAGTTTTTGGTAGCAAAATGTAGCCAAGATTAAGGGCTTCAATATTTTATAGAGCACTTAACGCATTAGAGTTGAATTTGGCGCTTGGGAGCTAATCTAACAAAATGAAGTCTCCGGAAAACTGAAGACTCTGTAGTTTGAGTGGAATGAAAATATATGCTATATATTATTTGAGGCCAGGACATTGCTAGAGGCCAGGACATTGCTAGAGGCCAGGACATTGCTAGAGGCCAGCACAATGATAGAGGCCAGGACATTGCTAGATCAGTTTTCCAAGTCAATGCAATGCTCGAAAACATGGATTTATGTACCGTAAAGGTACTGGATCTGTCTTTTACCCTTTTGCCTTCTTTCCTATGAAGCTAATGATGAACTTTTGAACTCTGGCTTCTGAAATTGTCTCAACTCTTAAGAAGACTTCTCTTATTGTCAGTTAACACATTGTCGGTTAAAGTTGCCATAAGAAATTACGAAAAAATTGGTCCATAGTACTATTACTAAATCAGGATTGATGTCAGGAATCGAATCTGTAGAGAAAAGGAGCCAGATATGTAGAGAAAAGGAATCGAATCTGTACTGAATAGGAGCCAGATCTGTAGAGAAAAGGAACCAAATCTTTAGAGAAAAGGAACCGGCCGAATCTGTACCGAATAGGAGCCAGATCTGTACCGAAAAGCTACCAAATCGAAAGGAGCCAAATCTGTAGAGAAAAGGAACCAAATCTTTAGAGAAAAGGAACCGGCCGAATCTGTACCGAATAGGAGCCAGATCTGTACCGAAAAGCTACCAAATCTGTAGAGAAAAGGAACCAAATCTGTACCGAAAAAGAAAAAGAAAAATCTTGGATTTTTCAAAGAATCGAAAGTAAATGTTAGAAATGCTTATTTTTCATGAATTTTAAGTTAAATTACTATTCGAAATTGACTCTAATAACCCGATCAAATTAGGAAATCAGCTAAATCTTTCCATTTCCTTTCATTGTCTTGACAAGAGATCTTTAAACTCATCGTTTTTTTTTGACAAATGCATGGAAACTCGAGGAACTAGATTTTGACAGGTTTCAAAAGAAAAGTTCTAAAATGTGGGTAGAGTAATTTGATTTGATAAAATAGAGTAATTTCTTCTAGAACAAAGGATAAATTTCGATTTTGGTAAACAAAATGTGCAAAGAAAACAATGAATTTGTTTTTGTTTGGATGATCGACTAGGGGAAAACTCGAAAACTGGATAAGGATCTATGAGGTCAATAAAACAGACTAAGTGCAAAAAGAAAAACACGTAGGTGATTGGTTTGTCTGTACAGAAAACTCTCATAATCTTATTAGCGGCTTTAAAAAGAGATGCTTTAAAAGAGATGCTTTTAAAAGAGATGCTTTAAAAGGCCCCTTGCTAGCAAGAAAAGGTACATTGGTGGCTTAGTGGATGGCTCATTAGACTTGCACCCACGCATTAGACTTGGACCCACGCGTTAGACTTGCACCCACGCATTAGACTTGCACCCACGCATTAGACTTGCGCAGGGTTCGGTTCAGCTTCTCTGATCCAGCTTCCCTGATCCAGCTTCCCTGATCCAGCTTCCCTGATCCAGCTTCTCTGATCCAGCTTCTCTGATCCAGCTTCCCTGATCCAGCTTCCCTGATCCAGCTTCTCTGATCCAGCTTCTCTGATCCAGCTTCCCTGATCCAGCTTCTCTGATCCAACTTCTCTGATCCAGCTTTTTCTTTTTCTTTTTCTTTTCCAAATAATTACATTGTAGAGGTTTGCAAAGTAGGAATTGAAATAAAAATAAATAAATAATGAGACAGTGAAAATAACCAAAAGCTCTTGCAAAATATAGTTTCCGGTAATGGTGGAATCAAAAAAATAGGTTAAGCTTGAAGAAATATTCAAGAACGAACAAAATGTAATGATTGATTGATTGATTGATTGATGATTGATTGATAAAATGATTGATTCGACCCAAATTGGGCACCTGGTATGGCCAGAGAGAAAGAACATCGTTCCAGCTGTGTAAGCCAAGGTAGACAAGCTAAAGTCTAGATCAGGGTCTAGTTCTGACCCTTGTACTCCACCAAATCAGAGCATTAAGCATTAAACATTAAGCATTAAAGCCAGAGCTGGCTGAAAAACAGAGATTACATCAGTAACCTTGCAATGTATCAAGAATGAAATGAAGCTAACGAAGATAATGAAGCTAACGAAGACAATGAAGCTAACGAAGACAGATCAAAGCTAATGATGAAGCTCATGAAGACGGGTCAAAGCTAATGATGAAGCTAACGAGGACAGATCAAAGCTAATGATGAAGCTCATGAAGACGGGTCAAAGCTAATGATGAAGATAACGAAGACAGATCAAAGCTAATGATAAAGCTAACAAAAACAGATCAAAGTACAAACACTCATTGTCCGTAGAGGAATTTCCTCTGCGTGCAAACGGTTACCGGGCTACTTATTGATGAGTAAAATGTCTGGTGGGATACAAAAATCCCTTTTATAAAAGGGGGTCGAGTTGGAAGAAGAAGAAGAGTTTCGGAAGAGAAAAGAATGAAAAATAGATGTAAGAGAGGGTAAAAAGCGGGTGAAGGTCATTCCATTCTCCATTCTCCACTTCTCCCTTCTCTATCCCTTTTTCTCTCTTGCACCCATCACCGCTCTCCTTTTTTCTTTCATGAATCTCTTCTCCTGTATCCAATTTATTTCGGCCATCAAAAAATAAACCGGAATCGATCATTTGTGGAGAGACTTTTTGTTGAGCAAGATGATCGCAAGATCGGTCACAAATTGGCTACTAGCGAAAAGAAACTAGAGTGCACGAAGGGTGTACTTTGAACTTTGTTTGAGAAAACAAACCCTTTCTGGTGCTCTGGCTAGAAAAATGAAGAGAAAGAGAAATGGATGCTTGTATTTTTTATTGCAAAAGTCAGCGTTGATGTCAGTCAGCGTTGATGTCAGTCAGCGTTGATGTCAGTCAGCGTTGATGTCAGTCAGCGTCATACTCATAGTCAGCGATGGTGGTTCACCCCGTAAACACCAGTCATTTAATGCTATCTAGCCAAATAGTATAGAATTCAAACCCGTAAAATTGATAGGAATTCTTGATATTGATAAACCGACAAAGCTGGAGCAAAAAAGCTCTCAGATTCTCTTCCAAAGTAAACTGATTTAGCGCAAACTTGAAACAATTTGTATTTCGGTGTTTTTTTATCTGTCTTCGCACTTAGGTGTTCCTATTTTGAATCACAACCTGCTCACAGATCACAACCTGCTTCCACATTTCTCTATCCCTTTCTATTGTCATCCAGTGTTTCCTATATTGGTTGTTCCTGGTTCGAAGTCTTCGATTTGCTTGTGCTGGTGGTGGTTGCACTCTAGCCATCCTTTCTCTGACCCTCGCTGCCCCTCACTGCCACTCTTGTGCTCCACCTCGTTGCTGGTCCTCGTGATGGGCCTCTTCTGGTCTCATGGTAGTCACTCTGTGATCCGTATCGTCCATCTGTCGTCTGTTCTTCTGGCTATCGGGATCGGGTGGCCGGAATTGGGTGGCCGGAATCCGGTGGCCGGCCCATCTGAGTCTTTTTCTCTCGATCACTTCCACTGAATCTCTGAATCCCGAGAGCCGGCGCATATCCGTACTTCTAAGGTCTTGATCGAGCTGCGTTTTCCTATTGTGCCCGAGGAGGTTCCTTTCAAGGGCTCGATGCGTCGTTCTCAGGGCTCGTTCGGTGGTCTGTGTCGTGGCCCAGGTCGTGGCCCAGGTCGTGGCCCAGGCCTCTGTCCCGTAGCAGAGTGCCGGGAGGACGGTGCTGTCGAAGAGGTGTGCCCGAGTCCTTCTTGAGTATTTTTGTGACTTCTTTGATGCTTCCTAGTGCTGTCCAGGCCGCTCGTCTTCTTCTGGCGACTTCTGGTCTCGTGGTAGCCACTCTGTGATCCGTATCGTCCATCAGTGGTCTGTTCTTCTGGCTACGTGGCCGGTCCATCTGAGTAATTTTAAAAACAAATCTCCACTTTATTACCGAATTTCTGAGCATAATCAATTCACTTTTATTCGCCGTTACTCCTCGTATTTATTCACTCGTAACCCTTCTCCAAATTACCCAAAGTGATCTGAGTGATCCAATGCCAACGCTCTGAACCAATGCCAACGCCTGAGTGACCAAGCCAACGCTCTGAGTGATCCAATGCCAACGCTCTTGAGTGATCCAATGCCAACGCTCTTGAGTGATCCAATGCCAACGCTCTTGAGTCATCCAATGCCAACGCTCTTGAGTCATCCAATGCCAACGCTCTTGAGTCATCCAATGCCAACGCTCTTGAGTCATCCAATGCCAACGCTCTTGAGTCATCCAATGCCAACGCTCTTGAGTCATCCAATGCCTACTCATTGCCCTAAACGCAACTATAGTAAGCGTTTTTCATTTTACAATTTCTAAACCTTCTAGATATTTCTAAAGTTTTTGTTTTGCAAGAATGTTTTGCAAATTCTCGTGAATGTTTCAAAATTCATGGCAAAAATCTCGAGGACGAGGAAGAAAATGAGAAAAAAACAGAGTGGATTTTCTCTTTTTATCATTTCTTTTAAATTTTCCTTCTTTAGAAGGCATCGAGTTGACAGAATTGACAGAATTTCGTTATTTTTAAGCATTTTGACCAAATTTCGTTAAAGAGATTAGCATAAAAGGGAATGAAAGACCAAGAAGATGGTTCTCCCAACAGCAACAGTTCTCCCAGCATAAAAGGGAACGTCAACCGTCTCATTTAGATGATTCTCAAGAATGAAATTAGAAATCGTATTGACTGATCGTATTGACTGATCGTATTGACTGATCCCTAAATCTGATACCTAAATCTGTCGACTAATTCTAAACTCAATTTCTGATATTTAGTCTGTACTTTGATTGGAATAGCGAATCTTGCTAGCTTTGATCCAATTTCTCTATTCTTTGTCTGTTTCTGTGCGTTGTGCCGATTTTCAGACAAAAATTTCAGGCAATTGAAAGATATTCGAAAAACAATCACTTAAACAGTTGTCAAACATTAAGAAAAGTTTGCCAGATTGATTTGAGACGAAAATTTGGCTTATCTGATAGTTAGCCGATTCTAACTGACTAGTAAGGCCTGGTTTGGTTTCGGAGACACTTTAGCCTGGTCACCTCGGGACTCGGAACCTGATCGGAACCTAATTAGATCTTGATCGGAACCTAATCGGAACCTAATTAGATCTTGGGCGGAGTCTAATCGGAACCTAATCGAAACCTAATTGGATCCTGATCGGAACCTAATCGAAATCTAATCAGAGCCTAACTAGATCCTGATCGGAACCTAATCGAAACCTAACTAGATCCTGATCGGAACCTAATCGGAACCTAACCGAAACCTAACTAGATCCTGATCGAAAGCTAATCAGAACCAAACTAGCTCCTGATCGGAAGCCAATTCACCCTATTTCTAGTGTTTTTTAAACGTTATTTCGTTATTTTGTAAGCTGGATTGATCGATTCATCGGCTGGCTCTGCCAGAATTTGTGTGTTTACGCTTTTTAAGCACAAAATACAAAACAGCTACAAATTTGGATTCGAATCGACGTCTCTTTTCCCTTGACTTTCCTTGAATTCCCGATTTCTCGTACAATTATCTACGATCTTTTTTCTATATTTTCTTCTAAACACTTTTTTTGTCTAAGCTCTTTTTTTGTCATTTCATTAGCAAATCCGCCCATCGAACACAATAAAATTACCGCAATTACACGCAAAAAAAAGGGGAGAGTTTTTGTGCGAAGAACGAGAATTTCTCTGTTTACGAAAGCAACGAACTATAGTACAATATTGAAATAAGCGATGGGAGTACTCGGTAGACTTTACATATTTGTTTTGTTTTCTTTCGAAATCAACATTAACGAAATCAACTTTAACCTCTCAAACTTTCATATAAAGTTCGTTTGAATGCTTTCAAATGTCCTTTCATTTCAATTGTTCTTCCAAATACCGTGCTGAAATCTAAACATTCCCTTTCTAGTGCACTAAATTCTTTACTTCACTCCAAACTTTACTTCCTAAAATGAAGAATTTCGTGTGCTAGAAGTGTACATTTTAAATTCCCCAGCACATTTGTACTTTGTGCTTAGAAACGGGAACGCAAGCTTCTAGTGCACTCGATTCTTTTATCTACTTTTTTTCTGCTAAATTGAGTACGCTAGAAGGAGAATGTTTCCATATTTCCCTTTATGGCATTCTCTTTATGAAATCGGCCTTGATGTTTATGTCGAAGCTGGTTTTTTTTAAATCCTCTAATTTTTCATAAACAGTACGTTTTTCTGAGTTGATTGACGTGTCACACGTAGTCACGTTTCATCAGAAAACGCATGCATTTGATTTGATTTTATTTTATTCATCTCTTACACATTCATTTGACCTACAATACTTATAAAAACCGTCTAAACTGGATTCTGAAGGAGATTTTTGATCAAAATTTCTTGTTCGACAACCTTTAAGAGATCTTTGGAAGCTTTAAAACACTGATATGTTCATAAAAGCAGTTCTTATGTTTCAAGAAAAAAAATTAGACAAGTTTGGTTAGGGGAGGATTTGAACCAGACTAGCGTCGCCCTGTAGACTGGCGCGCTATCCCCTAGGCCACCACCGCTCTTGGGGCCCTCCCGGCTTGACGCCCCTTTATACCTGGCGGTATGCCGAAATTTCCTGGAACTTTTTCAAAAACTAGCCATTAGGAAAAAAAATCTATTTCTTAGAATTCGACGGGCGCGTTTCGTAGCTAGGAGCGTTTCGTTTCGTAGCGTTTCGTAGCCGGTTTCAAAAATCGGTGATATGTTGAAGCAGTTCCCTATATAAGATTTGTAAGCATTAGCTTGCTTGAAAAACGGCTTCCTTATCGTTTTCTCTTCTTCTTCATTCAAATCCCTTTATACAACTTTAAACTTTTCATTTTTCCAGCATTCAACCATGAAACGACTACTCCTATTGACGGTCTTGATAATGATCATCGTTCTCGTTCAATCAGGTACAAAATCCGTCGTTGCCTTTCTGGAAGTGCCTTTCTGGAGGCCTATTTTAAGGCCAACTCCAAAAACCACACTTTCAGACACCGACATTCTACAACGATTAATGAAACGAGGTTTCGTCAAAGTGCTTCCGCCTCAAATTTCGAAAAAAGTAATTAATTGAAAAGATAAAGTTAAATAATCAACTTTTTATCCAAGTTTCAATCTGAATAGAAAAAACTCTTATGCAAAAAAATTTCCTTTCAGGTGCCATTTCTATTGCCTTCATCCTCTGCATCTTCATCATATCTCGATCGTGATCCACTCTACTTACGATTATTGAGCAAGAATTCATGGAGATATCATCTTTGAGTGTAATAAATAGTAGTGATAAGCTTTGCAAACAAATGGAAAGGAAACAAAAAAACAAAATGAATAGTTAACAAATGCATTGCTTCTGCAAATTTAGAGTTATCAAAATTTTTTTCTCTTTTGGTATACTGGAATGTAGAAGGATACAGGTACTTCCGCAAAAACTAAATTTTCTCAGCCTTCGACATGTAAATGTTCTCTATAAACTAGAGAGATGGATAAGAGTATCAGGATAACAGAAGAAATCCATCCTAAAGTTTGGATTTTGAATGAAAAAGAAAAGTTGACTTTTCAAAAGAGAACTTTTTCAGATGCAGGACCTAAAGAACTCATAATCAACTTTAAGACTGTTTCGTTGCAAGCGCTACAGTATGAATTCCATTTGACTCACCCCATTTTAATGAAATGTCTCTCTAATCATTTAATACTTGCACTTTATAACGTGCCAAACGCGGGAATGATTTCACGATTATATGTGCAAAACGTCCATTGAGAAGGGAATAAGTCAACGTTGAGCAGTTTGGAAACAATAAAAAGCGAGCAGTGTCTCCCGAATTTCCCCATTCAAACCACAACATGACCATTTTCTGGCTTTTAGCCCCAAAACATCCATAATCGCGTTTCGCCTATGACTTCATATTCGAGCACTAGTTAAGTTTACTACCTTTTAAACAATTAACGATATTTATTTACAACAAAAAAACAATGAGTCATTTAATGGCTTCCGAATGCCTCGATGATCTTCTGCAATGGAGCAATCTGAAAAGAAAAGAATTTAATCGGTTTGAATAAACTTTTAAGATTTTGTGTTATCCAAAAATGAATCTGACTTTGAACGCTAGACGTCTGTTGTGCAAAGTCATTAAATAAATGCGTTAAATGGTTAGAACTTCTCCACAAGGGATGCCAGACGCATAAGAGGAAACTATTCTCTGGTTAAATAGCTAACCGATCTTAATTCTAAAGATTTTACCTTCGCAGCGGCGTTCTTGAGTGCTTGAACCTTCAGTTTGCGCAATTTCTTCTGTCCTTCGTGATATGCGGCACCTTTGACTTTTCTCTTTTCTTCGAGCTTCTCAACCACTCCCTTGTATTGCCATCCAACTTCGTGAGCAAGACGTCCAACTAAAAGACAAAGCATTAAGCAAAGCAAATAGATTGTTTAACCTGTGCAGAACTTTCGGCGTGGTTTAAGGGCGAGGAACCTCATGGCTGTTGGGAGAACCATCTTCTTGGTCTTGTCGTATGGTGCTGGGCATCCCTCGAAGGCTTTTAGACGTTGAAGTGCAAGCTGTCCACGGTTGCTCTTGTGCGGAAGCATTCCTCGCACTGTTCGCCAGAAGATCTTGGCTGGGGCACCAAAATTTAATATATTAAAACTGATTAGAACCTAATACTTGATTAAATTATACTTAATCTTAAAAAAGCAAATTATCGTTTAATGCTGGACGTTTGAATGAGTTTGAGTGGGCGTTTCACTCAAAATTTTTACCGAAACCGTAAACCAACCGAAAATGGTAGGGACCACGCGATGGGTTAACGTTGAGTCGCTTGCGAAGGAAGGAGAGGTACTTCAGCTTTGATCGGTGGAAGTTGCCAGAGATCGTGATCAGCTCAGATCGAACGATGACAACCTAAAGCACAAAGTAAAAGAACGTTAAATGAGCTTTACTGTCATTAAATCTCAACCGATGCACGGCTTTCTTTCAGCTATAAGCACTCATTGCAAATACCAAACTGGTTGCTGCATTTAAATCTAATTACGACATATCTAACCCTTATCTAAACATCTAGCCTCTCATCTTTAACAACTTTTCAAAAAAGTTACCTTTTGTCCATTGAGAAGCTGTTTGGCGGTTACCGAGGCAAGTCTGCCTAACAAGTGATCCTTGGCGTCGATGACGAGCGGTCTATTGCTCAAACCCATGTTTGCTTTCTTAAAATAGAAAAATTAAAGTTTGAACTTTGAAGAAAAGAACTTGAAAGAAAACAAAAAAGGTTCAAAGAGTTGGGAAGCGCAATGCCAATTTGCAGATTTGCAGCCACTTTACAAAACGAATACAAACGTTTGACATGAAGTAAGATAGCCACAAAAAAAACGTGATGATCACAAAGAACGCAAAGTTGAAGTGGGTATTTCAAAATGCAAAATTCGATATAAGATTAGTATTTCTTCGTGGCCAGTTTTTAGAAACATAATGTTTATGTTTTGAAGGCTTAAAAAACAACTAGTTTAATCGCGCGTATACTTTCAAAGTGTCCCGCTGAGCTCTAATTGAATATCATTTAATTTCCTGGGAAAATTCAAACAAATGGGGCAGCTATGAAAGCTAGGAAGCGCCGCCTCTTCTTCTGCGTAGATTTTTCGTGGCTGCCCCTTTTTTTGAAATTCTTCACGAAACTAGAAGATATTCAGTTGAGTGGGCAAGGGGGACACTTCGAAAGTACACTTTGTATATTCGCGACAGATTACAATCAAATCAATGGAATTCTTTAGATAAAGCTCGGAGACAATTATTTCCTTTTGCAAAGGAACGTTTGGGGTAGGCTAATTTCCGCCATTTCATTTGCGCAACTCGCCATAACTTTTTTCTAAGTGGGCTAATCTTTATGCTTTTGGTGTTATTTTGTTGCACTTATTGAGATCTACAAAATGAAACCAAAAGCATAAAGATTGGCTTACACAGAAGAAAGTTATGGCGAGTTGCGCAAATAACCCTGCTGCGCAAAAAAAGTCGCGGAAACTAGCCTACCCCGAACGTTTCTTTTTCTCCCGTGTCGTACTGTAAAGGCAAAGCCAGACAAAATGGGGCACGGTTTGGAAACGATCACAATTATAAATGGTATTCGAAAAAGGGGGTGGGACAAATGCGACCTTTTTTTGCGCACCTGGACATTTGCGCACCTTTTTTTTGCTGGAAAAGGCCTTAGGAAAGGTCGTAGAGCTTCAAAAATGTTTTCATAGAAGGAAACCGTATGCGTAGATTCCGAATTTCGACAAATCAGACCTCGCTGACACGTCAAATTTGGGCTAAAAGGCAAAAACTACGCAACTTAACGCTTTTCCGCAGTTTTTCAGCTTTTCAACAAAACTATATAAAAATTAGGTCATCATTGTATTTTTATCCCCTTTCACTGCATATTTCCCTTTTCGTTTGCAAGTGAAAAAGAGAGTCGATTCGAACAAAAGAGAGAACTCGTTGGAGATAATTATCCGCCGATTTGTGTCAATCTCTCACTTTCCGCCCCGTTCTCCTTACTGAGTAAACACTTTTCATAACCACAGTATCAATTATCGAATTTTTCATTGGGTTACCGAATTTGTGCATTTTTAAAATCAAAACTTTTGTGTTTAACTGTCTTTTTGTTTAACTGTCTTTTTTTAGGGTGATTTATATGAGTGTTTTCCTTGATGTGTCACGATTTCCATGCAGCTGTGATTTGAGTGCAAAAAAAATGAATTGGGTCTCATTGAAATTCGAGGAGTTTTTTTTTTTTTGGAAAAGAGCAAAACTTTTCCAGTCCTTTTAGAAATTGACTCACCAACACTTGAAGGAAAAAAAAAGAGAGACTGGAAAAGGATTGGTGAGGAAAGGGGAAGGGGTACTTGGAAAACCCACACTACTCAACTTTTTTTTAGATAAATATCGATTTATGCATTTGAAGAAGCATCTAGTTATCTAGTTACCTAGTTATCTAGTTATCTAGCTATCTAGTCATCTAGTTATCTAGTTATCTAGTTATCTAGTTACCTAGTTATCTAGTTATCTAGTTATCTAGTTATCTAGCTATCTAGTCATCTAGTTATCTAGTTATCTAGTAATATAGTTATCTAGTTATCTAGTTATCGAATTATCTAGCCATCTAGTTACAGTACTGGACAATGAAATATGATATTTGAAAAAAGATCATCACTTTCGCGTCACTCTGTAAACCCCTTGTCTTTGAGTTTAAACTATTAGTGTTATACATTTTCTGAAAGCTCTTTTCAAGGGCTACACAACGGTAATATTTATATTTAGAAATAGGGTAAAGACAAGGGAGTTACAGACGCGGGAAAGTGACGATCTTTTTTCAAATATGATATTTCATTGTCCAGTAGTGTATCTAGTTACCTACTTATCTAGTTACCTAGTTATCTAGTTACCTAGTTATCTAGTCATCTAGTCATCTAGTTATCTAGTTATCTAGTTACCTAGTTATCTAGTTATCTAGTCTTCTAGCTATCTAGTTATCTAGCTAGCAAAGAAGCAATTGATCAATCAAGAAATCCGTTTTTGAGCATAAAGTTCACTGTAGATTGCATGTTTGCTGTGTTTCCTTGATATGGATACAAATATAGCTCGCTTCAAATATGAAAATTGAAATTGTTCTATGTGTGCTTGTGTATTTCATTGTTTCTTTTCTTTTATAAGTCATAATCTCCAATCATTGCAAAAACTGACTAGAAAACCCGCCAATTTCCCTTTCACAACCAGCTCGGCAACCTAATACGGTGGCCCTTCCCATCTCTCCTTCTTCTTTCTCAAATCGTTCATTCCATTTTCCTATTTGTCCTATCGTTAGAATAGAATTGTTGACATAGAGCCTCCTCTTCCCAAAAAATTTCTTTTGTCGTTACTTTTCACTCACCATTTCCATGTCTTTTTCATTTCGATCTTGGCAAAGTTGACACATCAAACTCCCATTTTTCCCTGGAAATGTATGGAATTCGGTCGAATGAGTCAAAAGCTTTGTAACGAAAGTTTAGGAAAGTTCTCTGAAAGCTGAATTGGTAAATTAAGGTTTCTGTTTTAAACTATACTTTAGCATTGGGGTTTCTTGAGTTCCTGTTTTACTAAAGTTGAAAAGTTATCTAGTTATCTAGTCATCTAGTTACCTAGTTATCTAGCTATCTAGTCATCTAGCTATCTAGTCATCTAGTTATCTAGTTACCTAGTTATCTAGTTATCTAGTTATCTAGTTATCTAGTTATCTAGTTATCTAGTTATCTAGTTATCTAGTTATCTAGTTATTTAGTTATCTAGTTACCTAGTTATCTAGTTATCTACCGTAAATACTGTAATAGTACCCCACCGCCCTCGTACAACCGCGTAGTCGCAAAAGCTTTTTTGTATTTCATTTTTCAAAGCGCCCGTACTTTCAAAAAATGCGTCTTTGGTATCAAAAAATAGCCCTGAATCTCAGCTATTTTTTGATACCTAAATGCGCATTGTAGCATAAACCAGTGTCGAGAAAAACTCGTTCAAAGCTAGAGCTACGCAACACTCCGCACCGTCATTATGGGGGTGGGGTACTATTACAGTATTTACGGTAGCTATCTAGTTATCTACTTACCGTAGCCTTGATGCTTTTACTTTTATCGCAACACATTGAAATATAATATTAGAAGACTCTTGAAGATTCATTTCTATATTGATCCACTGACTAAACTTGATGTACTTTGTGCTCGACAGAAACACCCATTTTCTAGGGCGCTAACTTCTTTCTTCCACTGTAAAACAAAAGCTATAAAGACAATGAAATAAAAGAAAATGATCGAGTGCACCAGAAATGGTGTGTGTCCAGCACAAAGTACACTGAGAGGGTACTACGATAAATACGAAATTTGGCACTCATATCAGGCAAAACTGATCATTTCTTAAACTTTGATTTCTTCAGAAATGCTTCACAAATTCTTAGCTGCCCTTTCCCCCCCATTTCTCTATAATAATCCTCTTACAGGGCCTCCGTAGCAGGTTTTTTTTCGTCAGTCCTTTTCTCAAAGAAAACTTAAGCATTCTCCTTTTCGCCGAAAATTTCCCCGAGAAGCTGATCACAAGTGTCAACGTTGAAAATCGGTGAAGAGCAATCGTTGAAGGGGACCCAAAAAGAAAAATGCTCCAAAAGTCACCGCCCACTCGCAACTTTTTGCGGAAAAATTCCCTCCTCTCTTTACCCACACTTTGAATCATCTTTCTCAAGTTGATAAAGTGAAAAGTTTTCTGAAATTTTACTTGTTTGAAAGTTGAGAGTTTACTTGTTGATAGTTTTCTTGTTGTCTTTCTTTTTTTTTTTGAAACAAAACCAAATTGAATCGTGCAATTCCAGCGATATGTCGTATAACAACGCTCCCGCCGCGCGTGCGCCATTGAGTGGACGACAGACGCACACATCAGCAAGTTCGTTTTGAAAAAAATATAAACGAATAAGCCGAAAGCCGAAAAAAGTTACTTGATTCGAATATTGATACAAATTCAATATTGATACAAAAACGTAGAAGTATCTAACAAGCAAAGTCGACTAGAGTCCTTAGATCGATCGTACTCATAGATCGTACTCATAGATCGTACTCATAGATCGTACTCATAGATCGTACTCATAGATCGTACTCATAGATCGTACTCATAGATCGTACTCATAGATCGTACTCATAGATCGTACTCATAGATCGATCACTCATAGATCGTACTCATAGATCGATCACTCAGATCGTACTCATAGATCGTACTCATAGATCGATCACTCATAGTCAGAACATTAAACTCTCTTCTGTTACAATCCCTTTTACAGCATCGGGTCGTAGTCTAAAGATTGTGACTGAAATGGGATCGGGAATCGGATCTGGATTGTCTCCATTCGGTCAAAATGCCGCTTCGACTATTCGTGATTCGCGTGAAAGGGAGAAAAAAGATTTGGGTGATTTAAACGATCGACTTGCCTCCTATATCGAAAAGGTAAATGAATTCAAGAGCTCACAGATAGTAAAATGATGATTGTGAAGATGAAGATGATGAAATTTGATGCTAAAACAAAGTTAGTTCTTTAGCTCAAAAGTTAGTTCTAATTTTAGCTCTTACACAAGTTCACTGCTTGTTAGGTGGCTTAGTTTCAGTCATTGACGAAAATACGAACCGTTACAGTACAGTACAGTACAGTTACAGTACAGTACAGTAAAGTACAGTTACAGTACAGTACAGTTACAGTACAGTACAGTTACAGTACAGTACAGTACAGTTACAGCACAGTACAGTTACAGTACAGTTACAGTATAGTACAGTTACAGTACAGTACAGTACAGTACAGTTACAGTACAGTATAGTACAGTTACAGTACAGTACAGTTACAGTACAGTACAGTTACAGTACAGTACAGTACAGTTACAGTACAGTACAGTTACAGTACAGTACAGTTACAGTACAGTACAGTACAGTTACAGTACAGTACAGTACAGTTACAGCACAGTACAGTTACAGTACAGTTACAGTATAGTACAGTTACAGTACAGTACAGTACAGTACAGTTACAGTACAGTATAGTACAGTTACAGTACAGTTTTGGTTTTGCTACAGTTTTCTTACAGTTTTGTTTGGGTTAAGTAAAGAAATAAATGGCAAAAGTTTATCAAAGAGGGGAATCGAACCCTTGACCTTTTGCTGCGAGCTCCTCCCTTCTATTCTGATGCTCTACCATTGAGCTATCAGCGCCTTGTTTCCGAGAGGAGAAATTCGAAATACAAAGGGGAAGGGAAAGGAAACCAAGTCAACAAAAATTAAAGTTATAATGCTTTTGACTAAAAGTTTTGATCTTTTGAAATCTTTGGGTAAAAAATGGAATTCCCAAATCATTAACAATTCATTCCAGTAAATTCTACTGGATACGAAATTCACACAAATTTAACAGATTATCAGAGAACAGCTCTAACTACAGTTAGATCAGCTCAGCCTTTCAAAACAAAGCTCTCCATTTTTCTCAGGTGCGCTTCTTGGAGGCACAGAATCGAAAGCTTGCCACCGATTTGGATGCGCTTCGATCGAAATGGGGAAAAGATACGCACAATGTGAAAAATATGTATGAGAGGGAACTCGGTGATGCACAAAAGGTTGGCAAAAAAGCAGGCAGGCAAAAACTTAAACTTAACAAATTGATATGGTTGCAACTTAACAATTGATATGTTTATATTTTTTCAGCTCATCGAGGACACTCACAAACAACGCAAAGAGCTCGAGGGACAGGTGAAGAAAATGCAAGATGAGCTCACGGATATCAAGAAAAAGTAAATCATAGTATTATAGATTAAAAATTGATCGACTTTTACAGTAATTTGGTGCAGTATTTTGGTGTATTAATTTGCTTTTTGAGTAAATTTCTCAGAACTTTAAGCTTTTCCTCAAACACTTAGCGCAACAGTAATCGGCTTTCTTTCTGAAAAGAGGAAATGAGTGGCTAGGAAAAGAATGGCTAGGAAAAGAGTGGCTAGGAAAAGAGTGGCTAGGAAAAGAATGGCTAGGAAAAGAGTGGCTAGGAAATGAGTGGCTAGAAAGTGAGTGGCTAGGAAAAGAGTGGCTAGGAAATGAGTGGCTAGGGAATGAGTGGCTAGGAAAAGAATGGCTAGGAAAAGAATGGCTAGGAAATGAGTGGCTAGGGAATGAGTGGCTAGGAAATGAGTGGCTAGGGAATGAGTGGCTAGAAAGTGAGTGGCTAGGAAATGAGTGGCTAGGAAAAGAGTGGCTAGGAAATGAGTGGCTAGGGAATGAGTGACTAGAAAGTGAGTGGCTAGGAAATGAGTGGCTAGGGAATGAGTGGCTAGGAAATGAGTGGCTAGGGAATGAGTGGCTAGGAAAAGAATGGCTAGGAAAAGAATGGCTAGGAAATGAGTGGCTAGGGAATGAGTGGCTAGGGAATGAGTGGCTAGGGAATGAGTGGCTAGGGAATGAGTGGCTAGGGAATGAGTGGCTAGGGAATGAGTGGCTAGGGAATGAGTGGCTAGGGAATGAGTGACTAGAAAGTGAGTGGCTAGGAAATGAGTGGCTAGGGAATGAGTGGCTAAGAAATGAGTGGCTAGGAAAAGAGTGGCTAGGAAATGAGTGGCAGGTGGGGCTAGAAGTGGTGGCTAGGTCAGTGGCTAGGAGAGTGGCTAGGAAATGAGTGGCTAGGAAATGAGTGGCTAGGAAAAGAGAAAGGATTTTAAAACCTAGATCTTAGAGCTTTCAAAAAGAAACCATTTTCTTCAATATTCATTCCCAAATAAAGAAATGATAGGGAAAATTAGGAAAAAGAAAAAAAGAAGGATTTCTTTTTTAACACAGATCCAAGTCCACAGCAATTCACTCGACTTTTTGAGATGAATATTTAGTTTGTAAATCTATAATTTAATCTTTAATCTAATCTGTAATCTAATCTGTAAATTAATCTATAATTTAATCTGTAAATTAATCTATAATTTAATCTGTAAATTCATCTCTTCTTTTAGATTCGATCCTGCTTTATAAATTCGATATTTTATCGTTGATTTTTGTAGATACGAAGATGCCGTTCGAGGGCGTAGCACAGATCGCGCGAAAATCGACGAATTGTTGGTGATTTTGTCGAATATCGAGGCTGAGATCAACTTGTTGAAGCGGCGAATCGCTCAAGTAAAGCCGATTTTTTAAAAATTCGACCATTCAACTCTTCAACCATTCAATTTTCAATGATATTTGATGATTAGATATTAGATTTCAATGATTTTTAAGAACTTATATATCTAAAAACTGATCACTATGCTTTAATTGTGTTTTGAGTGAGTTGATTTCAGTTTACAGAGCTGGAATTGTGTCGTAGTAATGCTGTAAAGTAATCCTGTAAAGTTATCCTGTAAAGTAATCCTGAAAAGTAATCCTGTAAAGTAATCCTGTAAACCCACTGTGTAGGAGTCCTGTAAACACATCGATGATTTGTGTACAGTGACATACAGTGTACAGTGCCATACAGTGTACAGTGCCATACAGTGTACAGTGCCATACAGTGTACAGTGCCATACAGTGTACAGTGCCATACAGTGTACAGTGCCATACAGTGTACAGTGCCATACAGTGTACAGTGCCATATAGTGTACAGTGCCATATAGTGTACAGTGCCATATAGTGTACAGTGCGGTACAGTGTACAGTGCGGTACAGTGTACAGTGCCGTCCAGTGTACAGTGCCGTCCAGTGTACAGTGCCGTCCTAGAAGCATTAAACTTGCTGCATATCACTTGAAGATTTGCCGTTTTTATCTTGAGACAAGTTTTAGCTGGAAGAAGAGGTGAAGAGGATCAAGTCGGAGAACCAGCGACTCCTCAGCGAGTTGCAAAGAGCAAGAACGGTGAGTGATGAGGAGATTATTGTACTTCATTGGATATCTTTAACCCAATATCTTCAACACAATATCTTTAACTCAATATCTTTAACTCAATATCTTTAACTCAATATCTTTATTCAATGTTTAATTGAGCATTCAGGATCTCGATCAAGAGACTCTCAACCGGATCGACAATCAAAATCAAGTGCAAACACTGCTCGAAGAGATCGATTTCCTTCGTCGTGTTCAAGATCAAGAAATTAAAGAGTTACAGGTATAAGGATTACATAAAAAGGCATAAGAATTGTATAAGGATTGTATAAGAATTGTATAGGGATTGTATAAGGATTGTATAAGAACTGTATAGGAATTGTATAAGGATTCTATAAGAACTGTATAAGAATTGTATAAGAATTGTATAAGTATTGTAAAATTTGCATAAAAACTTGTTTTCTATGTAAAATCTAGATGTTGGCCGCTCGTGACACCACCCCCGAAAACCGGGAGTACTTCAAGAACGAGCTGTCGTCGGCGATTCGCGAAATCCGTGACGAGTATGATCAGGTTCGTTTCCCGCCACCGTATCCCCATTACAGCTCAAAGATTTACAAGCAAAAGCCCAATTCAGCTCTCGAATGTTCACCGCAACGACATGGAATCGTGGTATCGTCTTAAAGTTCAAGAGATTCAAACACAATCGGCTCGTCAGACGATGGAGCAAGGGTAAAGCGATCTTTTGATAGCGATCTTTTGAATTGATATAGGAAATAAAATATGCTAATAATAGTGATAAGTTAAATGTCTACTTGATTTTAGATTCTATAACCTAAGTAAATACCCTTTTTAGATACGCAAAAGAAGAGGTGAAACGTCTTCGCTCACAGCTCACCGATTTGCGTGGAAAGTTAGCCGATTTGGAAGGAAGAGTGGGTGATTTAGTCGATTAAAGTTTCATAAAGTTAATTATATTCAATCTAGTCAATGAAATGTCTTTATTTAAAGGTCTTTATTTAAATATCTTTATTTAAAGATCTTTAACTCATTTCAATATCCCTAAACACTTTAGAACTCCCTCCTTGAGAAACAAATCCAAGAGCTCAACTATCAACTTGAGGATGATCAAAGATCTTACGAAGCGGCACTCAATGACAGGTTTCATTGCATAAATTGATCATTTTATTGGATAAGTTTTAAGTTCATAATGTCATTGAACCAGTTTAAGTGGTATAAACAAGTACAACCAGATAGAGATACAACCAGATAGAGATAGTCAAATCAAATCAAAGTCAAAGATAGTCAAATCTAAACATTTCAGAGACGCCCAAATCCGCAAAATGCGTGAAGAGTGTCAGTCGCTTATGGTCGAACTGCAGATGTTACTGGATACTAAACAAGTAACAGTTTACATTTTGAGCTTATATAGAAGCTTACATAGAAGCTTATATAGAAGATGCATGTCTCTGTCTTGCTTTAAAGGCATTGCTTCTGACCTAGATTGGCTTGACTTAGCCTTGAACTGACTGTTAACTTTGCTCCTTTTTCGATCCGTTTGCCGCTAATAATCCACGAATGGTTATGGCTGGCTTGGCTTACTGGACCTGGCCGGCTTACTAGACCTAGCCGGCTTACTAGACCTAGCCGGCTTACTAGACCTAGCCGGCTTACTGGACCTAGCCGGCTTACTAGACCTAGCCGGCTTACTAGACCTAGTCGGCTTACTGGACCTAGCCGGTTTACTGGACCTAGCCGGTTTACTAGACCTAGCCGGCTCCAGTAAGCCTACTGGCTCTAGAGAAACATTCCTGACTTTAAAAACTTTAAGATATTTACCAAGTATTAAATCTTGCAGACGCTTGACGCTGAGATTGCTATCTACCGGAAAATGCTGGAAGGAGAAGAGAATCGAGCCGGCCTTAAACAATTGGTCGAGCAAGTCGTCAAGACTCATGGAATTCAGCAAGAAGTTGACACTGGTAGATTAATTGAATTGATTGAATCGATTGAATTGATTGAATTAATTGAATCGATTGAATTGAATTGAATTGAATAATTCTCAAAACCTTTCCAGAGACAATGCGTGTGGTGAAAGGAGAGACAGCCTCTCGACAATCATTCCAACGATCAGCTAAGGGAAATGTCTCTATTCATGTGAGATCCTCTAAAGATCCTCTAAAGATCAAATCCTCTAAAGATCAAATGAAAATTATGGGATTTCTAGGAAGCATCTCCAGATGGGAAATACATTGTTCTCCAGAATACACATCGTGCTAAAGATGAAGGAATTGGAGAGTGGAAGTTGAAGAGGTAAAAGCGAAAGAAAATTGACAAAATGAAGTGTTAAAGCTTGATTTATCGATTCAATTTAGAAAGATCGACGGAAAGAAAGAAATCGTTTACACTCTACCCGTAAACTTTGTGTTAAGAGCCGGGAAACAAGTGAAGGTTGGGAATTTACATTTAATTTGACGGGGATTTACAAGAGCAATACAATTTACAATAGAATTTGATCGGGAATTGCACTTTATCTATCAATTATCTATTAATTAAATTATCTATTAATTATCTATTAATTAGTTCAATTATCTATATTTCAATTATCTATACTTCAATTATCTATATTTCAATTATCTATCAATTATCTATACTTCAATTCTATCATAGAGAACAGCTAAAGCTTTAAACAACTTTAGAATTCGCTTAGCTTTAGAATAGCTTTCGAATAGCTTTAGAATTAGCTTAGCTTTAGAATAGCTAAAGCTTTAGAATAGCTAAAGCTTTAAATAGCTAAAGCTTTAGCTTAGCTATTTAAGAATTAGAATTAGCTTAGCTTTAGAATTAAAGTTTAGAAACTTTAGAATACAAATCAAAGTTTAATTAGATCATTGAATTCGATGAAAATTGAGAGGCTTTTGTCTCTTTTGGCTTCGATTTTGCTTTAGCTCTTAGCCAAATTGGTTTTGTTTTTTATAGATTTGATTTGATTTGGACTTGATTGATTTGAACTGGATTTGATTTGATTAATCAAGAACTAGATTTGATTAATCAAGAACTAGATTTGAGTAATCAAGAACGAGATTTGAGTAATCAAGAACTAGATTTGAGTAATCAAGACTGATAGTAGAATCAAGATAGACTTTAGTTTGTATCATTTAAGCTACAAGCTTAAGCTTGAAGCTACAAGTACCCAATCAGATTGTTATCTATTACCCAATCAAATGGTTAACTTTACAAGTACCCAATCAAGCTGTTAACTTTACAAGTACCCAATCAAGCTGTTAACTTTACAAGTATCCAATCAAATGGTTAACTTTACAAGTACCGAATCAAATTGTTAACTTTACAAGTACCGAATCAAATTGTTAACTTTACAAGTATCCAATCAAATGGTATACTTTACAAGTACCAAATCAAATGGTTAACTTTACAAGTATCCAATCAAGTTGTTAACCATTACAAGTACCAAAGTACCATTACAAGTACCAATTGTCAACTTTACAAGCACCAAATCAAGTTATTAACTACTACAACTATCACAGATCTTCGCCAAGAATCAAGGCGTTTCCTCCCCGCCTGATCAACTCGTCTTTGATGGAGAGGATTCTTTCGGAACTGGAAGCTCTGTCCACACAATTCTCTACAGCAAAGATGGAGAGGTTCTTTTTTAAAATATGAATCTCTAGAACCATTCAGTAGACAAAAATCTAGTTCTAACTTAGTTTCAAAAAGCTTACAAGTACCAAGTCAAGTTGCTTTTAAACTCCCAAAAATTTCTAGGAACGTGCCACTCACATCCAACGCTCCTCGACCGCCTAGGAAAGCCCTCTCGTAAACTTTTGACTTGTAAATCTTGTAAATTTGAAAATTTCAAACCATTTTCTTTGAAAGATTCTAATTTTCACTCGTGGGAATTAGTTTGAAAAAAGATTTACAAGTCAAAAATGACATCACTTTTCTATTGCTCATTTCGTAAAAATTAGTGTCTTTTTTGTATGATTTACTGCTTATTTTGATAAGAAAAGAAACTTTTTGTATGTTTTTTTATAGTTTTTCAACTATAATCTGTTCTAAAACATCACAAAAACTCTAAAAAATCGATCTCAAATTAAACCGATTACAATCTAAGGAAGGCAGCAGGCGATCTAAGGAAGGCAGCAAATTACCCCACTCTCAATTCGAGGAGGTAGTGACAACAACTAACGAGACTGTGCACTTCGGTGTCATTTATTAGATTCACCAACCGCTTCGGCGTCAAGTGATGATTCTGAATATCTTGCAGACCGCATGCAGATCGTTACCGCATGTGTAAGTGGCGGCAATTCGCGAAATGAACTGCCCTATCAACTTTTGATGGTAGTTTAGTTGACTACCATGGTCGTAACGGGTAACGGAGGATCAGGTTTTGACTCCGGAGAGGATGCCTGAGAAACGGCAACCACATCTAAGGAAGGCAGCAGACGCGCAAATTACCCCACTCTCAATTCGAGGAGGTAGTGACAACAACTAACGAGACTGCTAACGAGAGAACAGTCACCGAAATGGGTGCAATTTAAACACGAGGATCAATGAGAGGGCAAGTGCCAGCAATCTGATGCCAGCAATCTGATGCCAGCAATCTGATGCCAGCAATCTGATGCCAGCAGTCTGGTGTCAGCAGTCTGGTGCCAGCAGTCTGGTGCCAGCAGTCAGTCTGGTGTCAGCAGTCTGGTGCCAGCAGTCTGGTGCCAGCAGTCTGGTGTCAGCAGTCTGGTGCCAGCAGCCGCGGTAATTCCAGCTCTCAAAGTGTATGTCATTATTGCTGCGGGGTGAAAAGCTCGTAGTTGGCTCTGAGCCTTTGGATCTGAGCCTTTGGATCTGAGCCTTTGGATCTGAGCCTTTGGATCTGAGCCTTTGGATCTGAGCCTTTGGATCTGAGCCTTTGGATCTGAGCCTTTGGATCTGAGCCTTTGGATCTGAGCCTTTGGATCTGAGCCTTTGGATCTGAGCCTTTGGATCTGAGCCTTTGGATACTCGAGTCACTTTCCTTCATTTCCATCACTTTACCTATAAAGGATTGCGAAATCATTGAAATCAAGTCAAAACTCGATTTTATCTGAGTCATCTTTTTTTACTGATTAGATCATAAACTTTAAAATCGATCTAGGATTCTTTGTAGATCATTTTGTAAAATGTAAAATGTAAAATGTAAAACTAAATGCTGACTTTCTTTCCAACCAAATGATTGACGCGTGCCCAGCTTTCGAAAAAAAGAATTTTACGATCATTTATCGATTATTTATAATCCACTTTGTTATTTAAACTATTTAAAAATCAATTTTAAATAGTTTAAATATTTATTTCTCTATTTATTTCTTTATTTATTTCATTTTTATCTAATCTTTTTCGATTTTTTCAATCAAAAGTGAAAATTTTGGTTTCTAGGGTAATCGAAATGAAAAAAGAAATGAAAAGAAAAAGCCTTGACCTGAAAAAAAAAAAACTCGCTCATTCTCTCGCAGCTAAATGGGATAAAAGGGGATGTGAGAAAGGGGAAATTAACAGAAAATCATCAAATCATTCACAACTCATTCACAAATCATTTCCTCATTTGAGTTAAAGCTTTCAAAAAATGAATCGGGTTGGTTATGTTTTAAAAAGGCTCACATCCGCAAATGAACTACATACCGTAAATACTTTAATGGTACCCCACCGCCCTCGTACAGTCGCGTAGTCATATTTTATTTTTTTCAAAGCGTCTGTACCTTCAAAGCGCTCGTACTTTCAAAGCGCGTCCGTACTTTCAAAGCGTCCGTACTTTCAAAGCGCGTCCGTACTTTCAAAGCGCGTCCGTACTTTCAAAGCGCGTCCGTACTTTCAAAGCGCGTCCGTACTTTCAAAGCGCGTCCGTACTTTCAAAGGGTCCGTACTTTCAAAGCGTACTTTCAAAGCGCCCGTCTTTGGTATCAAAAAATAGCCCTGAATCTCAGCTATTTTTTGATACCTAAATGCGCATTTTAGCTTAAACCAGTGTCGAGAAAAACTCGTTCAAAGCTAGAGCTACGCAACACTCCGCACCGTCATTATGGGGCGTACTATTACAGTATTTACGGTATGTTTTCGTGTACTTTCTTCGTGTAAACACACCCATTCTAGCGCAGTGAATTCATCGTTTTTTTTTTCTTCATTTCTCAAGCGTCTTACATAGTGGATAGTAGGCCAGGAAATGCGTGTTTACACGAGCATAAAGTGCACTAAACTTCTATTTAAACTCGAGTAGGCAAAGTACATCACACTTCTACGTATTTCAAGATTACAATCATTCTATCTTTTTCAGTCAAAATCCGACTCGGAATGGTTCCAGCATTTGGCTCACTTCTCCGTCTTTACAAGCTTTTGTTGCCTCCTTTTTCTCTCAATCACAATTCCCGGTTTGTATCTTCGATCAATCGATGAACAAACAATGTTGCACGAAAGAGCGATGGTGTTTAAGGTGAGAGAATCTGTTTAGAGATCTATTTAGAGATCTATTTAGAGATCTATTTAGAGATCCATTTAGAGATCTATCTAGAGATCTATCTAGAGATCTAGAGATCTATCTAGAGATCTAGAGATCTATCTAGAGATCTAGAGATCCATCTAGAGATCTAGAGATCTATCTAGAGATCTATCTAGAGATCTATCTAGAGATCTAGAGATCCATCTAGAGATCTAGAGATCTATCTAGAGATCTATCTAGAGATCTATCTAGAGATCTATCTAGAGATCTATCTAGAGATCTATCTAGAGATCTATCTAGAGATCTAGAGATCTATCTAGAGATCCATTTAGAGATCTATCTAGAGATCTATCTAGAGATCTATCTAGAGATCTAGAGATCTATCTAGAGAAATTAGTATCAAAAATTTCAAGGAGATCACGAACAAGCTTTGGACGGAAAAGCTGAAACTCCAGTCAACCCTCTTTGGATCGACAATCACTTTCTTTAGTCGAGCGAAGAGACAAATTTATGATGGAGTTTGCAAGGGTACGTAGAGCTTTTAATAAAACTTATAAAGTAGCTTTTAGGGTGTGGCCCTCTTGCTTGCCCGTATGGACCCCCGGGCCCACCTGGGTTCTCGGGTTCCGATGGCATTCCGGGAGAAGCTGGAAATCAGGGGACAGCCGGCGATGATGGAATGGATGTACAACTGGATGCTGAACCGGAAATGCCTTGTGTTGTGTGTCCATCGGGACCAACTGGACCAAGGTGGGAAAATAGGAGAGAAATGACAAGCGATTGACTGATCAAGAATATCACTAATCGAATCAGCGTACGCGAAAACCCTAGGAACATTTTTTGGGAAAATGCTAGAGGCGTTTTTGAAGCCCCGCGTATATAAGGCGGTGCGTATATAAGGCGCTGCGTATATAAGGCGGTGTTAGTTCGTTCAGCCAAGTCTAGTACTTGAAATCAAACTCGAAACCTGACAACCCATTTCCAGAGGAGCTCAGGGTGAACGCGGTCGTCAAGGCAGTGCTGGTACTCCGGGAGAAAAAGGGCCACATGGAAATATGGGAATGGATGGAGGACCGGGATTGGCTGGAGATGCTGGAGAAGCCGGAGATAAAGGACCTGAGGGACCGACAGGACAACCGGGGAAGACAACAGTGGCCGGGATTGGAATCAAGGGGCCAAAGGGACCGCCTGGGCCCTCCGGAATGATGGGACCACCTGGGCCTGGAGGTGAAAGAAAAGCAAATCTTGAATTTAATACTTTGTTTAGGCCGGGGTTCGGTGCATCCAGGAGAAACCGGTCCACCAGGTGCATCGGGTCCAATGGGGGCAGCTGGTCGACAAGGGCATCCAGGCAACGAAGGACCCTATGGGCCACCGGGTGACGCTGGAATGCCGGCCAGTTATTGTCCGAGTGATTGTGGGGTGTCACAGATCGTCTCAAATATAATGCCATCGGAGAAAGCGAGGTGAAAGCTTAATAAATTACGCTTTGAAAAGCTTAGTGGTTACTGGGTGAGAATACTGTAATTCGGCTGTTTACGGGCAAAAGTCTATCCCGAAAATTATTTGTCAATTACCGTATTCTCTCTAATAGTAGTGCACCATGAGCGTTGCCTAAAATCTGCAAAATGCGTGAAGAGTGTCAGTCTAAAACGTGTAATTTGTGAAAGCTATCGTGATCTTTTAGAAAACGAAAAGAAAACGAAACGAAAACTCTCTAGTTGCAAGCAAAATCGGCAAAAATCGATTAAACCAAGCTATAAAAAGCGATTTCAGAATGGAGATCTTGAAAAAAAACGACGAAAACAAAGTGGACGATAATCATTATTACGGAGGGCCGGCTGGGACTGGGACGAGTGGATATGGAAGACGGAGAATGATGGGATTGATGACGCACCCAGTGAGCCAACCATTCAGATTACCCGAAGAAGACAACGGAGGATGGGCATATGCACATGAGATGAGACAAATGCGAGATGAGGCTGTGTTCACCCCAAGACATCGACTATCCTATGACAATACGCCGCCAAAAGGATACGAAAATTTGTTGAAAGATCGATCGTTTAAAGCGAAATTAGCAAGGAAAATGATGAGGAGAAAAATGGCGATGAATAAGGTGTAAAATTTTCGTTTTAATTGTTTTAATTGTTTAAAATAAACCCTTTAAAAGTATCGCAGAAAGCTTAAAATTGCTAAAACACACACACACACACACACAGCTTGAGAACAAATCTAGAATCTATAGAATCTATAGAATTTATCTATTTGAAAGCTACGAATCTCCTCTCCAAGATCGGCTTCCAAGATAGTTCTCGTTTTGCTGTTTCGCTAATCAAAAAGTATCCGAATCTATCTAAGAGTTTAGACCAATTAAATCCCAGCTCTACTTGGTAGACTCAATAAAATGAATAGCGCCAATCGATTGATTCCTCGACCCTGAAAAACCAAGGGTAAAAATTTACAGCTGAATATCTTTCTTTGCAACATCTACAAAGCAAAAAAAGAAATCCCTATAAATGAGTGGCGAGGTGTTCTTTGTGCGGCCGCTCTCCATCGGCCGCGTAATCGCTCTCCATCTGGCACACGTCCCCGATAGATGGCCGTTCTCTTTCGGCGTCTGTAAAGAGAAAGGACCGGTGTCAACTTGAGTCACCAGCGTCAAGCGTCAAAAGTCAGCGTCAAACTAAGCCAGCGTCACCACTTTGAGCCATGCCCAAACTTATGATGTCACTGCAGGATCAATCATAAAGAAAGCATCTCCCCACAGCTCCTCTCAGACCTGCCCACTCCTTGCGGAAAAGGGGCTAGTTGCTGTTACACAACATTGTTTGAATAAAAACACAATATTTTTTCGATACTTTTTTTGTTTATTTACATCAGCTTAAAAATCTAGTGAAAAACAGCCGAAAAGCTGAGATTTCAACGAAGCAAATTGGCAAATTCGCAAATTGGAAAGCTCTGTCAAACTCCTCTTGTATAAACTGCTTCCCCTTTTGGAATCCCCAGCGACTGGCCCCGTCTTTCTGCGTCACGATGCCAAATTTTTGCCTTAAATTTCCAAATATCAAAGAAGAAAATTGACCAGATTTTTTGCACTTCTATCTCATTCTCTAATCAATTTTTATTCGACAATTAAAGAAGAAAACACACACACACACACACACACACAAAAGATTTCATACAAAGAAAAGAGAAGGAATTTTTCTAAACTTGAACTTCTTTACTCAACGCGTTTTTACAAAAGCAAAACAGAAAATATTTCGAAAAAAGGAACATAAAGAACTCAAATAAATTTTAAATCTTAAAAATACTTACAATAGATAAGGCTTATCCGTAACAAATAAAAAAACCCGTTTTGCTCACAACAAAGAAAAGAAAACATTGAAATCGAACGAAAAGCTAACGGTTAAGTTTTGAAAAATTTCAACTTTATAAAGAAAATAATAGATTTAACTGAATACCCGTGGAATTGGCTGAAAATAGAAACAAATCAAAGTATTATGTTCTCAATTTATGCTAATTTTTTGTTAGCGTAGGTTCAACGTTGTTTGACCGAGGTGCTGTGGTTGAGCCCATCTGGAATCAATATTTATATGGGTTACGGTGGCTTTTGCCTGTCTGTCTGTCTGTCTGTCTGTCTGTCTGTCTGTCTGTCTGTCTGTCTGTCTGTCTATCGAAGCATCGTTAAAGGCTTACCGATACGGTAGATAGTATCTTTAGCCTTAACGATACTTGTCTTTTTGCTCCAAAACGACTCTTCAACATTTAACTACTTATAGATCATGTAAATATAGATAGTTCAATCTCGGAGTCTAGTCCTAATCTTATCGAAGACTATCGATGAATCAAAATGATATCGTTTACCGGTAAGACCTCGTTATCCATGTCTACTTACTGGTATTACTGTTGTATCAACAAGGATAAGCAGCTTTATCTATGTTTAATAAAATATAGATAATAGTATAATAGAATTTATAAAGATAATATTTTTCTAAATACCCACCTAAACAGCGCCTGATATCGAGCCTTCTCCTCATCGGAACTCTCGCGACGAACGATCCAATTGTACTCCCAATGCTCGTCCTTTATCCAACTAAAATTTTAAGTTTCAAATCTTTTGTCATTTCTTAATATTTTCAAATCATCAAACCTGCATGGTCGAAAAAGTCGTCCCGGATTTCGCTTCAATCGCTCATTGCTGTTCCAAACCATCGGATTGTTCGGAGTTGGATCACTTCTAGAAATTTGGATTATTAGTTCACTGCTTTCTCATCTAAAAATTACTATTTGAAGTGATGAATTCTCTAATCTTTCTTCTCTTCTGAATTCTGAATTAACTTCTTCTCCAATCTTACTTTGTCAATCGAATTGCTCCTGCTTGCTCAGTCAACAATGTAATATCATCATTCTTTTCCGGAGACGATTCCACCGATCCACCCGGGCTTTTCGAATCGATTTTCCTTGGTGGAGTCTCTTGATGATCTTCTCCGCCTTCCCATGTTGGAATCGCGTGTACAATTGATCGGATTTTTACGTAGTCTGGCTAAAAACATGTTGTTGAGCTAAAACAGAGGTGAAACTTATAGCTAAATCTCTAGGTTATCGGACATTTCGATACGCGCCATTGGCGATACATATTTCTGCTAGGAAAATGTTTCATATGCCTTTGTAATCTAACATTGAGCTCAAATTTCTTGGTGTTGAGCTGTCCAATTTCAATATTCTTGGTATCATTAGATGCGCCAAGTTTTTCTCTGTCGATTGGTATAAAAACTATTTAAATTGCACAGCCCAACACGAAGATATTTGTGTTCAAAGTTGGATTGCCATTGGCAAAAGGGGGAAGCGTGTATCAAATGTCCCACAATCAAATCTCTATGGCATCCTCTCAATTCTAAACCCTGAAAAACCTACTGTATATTAAAGCACTTCTGACGATAACTTGCATAGAGCCAGTTTTAGTTACAAGATCTAACAAGTTTCAAACCCACATCTTCCGTAAAAGCCATCGATTTCGCGTATGTGAAGAGCTCAGCCAGCGGTGGACAAGCGCTTTTCCAGTCGACGCTCTCTTTAATGTTCCGAATTCGATTATAGCTTTGTTGTTTTGTTCGATATCGACCTTTGTTCTTCGATTCCTGAAATGAGATGATTTCTGGCTAGTTAGCATGAGTTTTAAATTGATTCAGTGCAATTTGATTCACTATCAGGCTAGGTGATTCGTCAAAAAGATAAAGCAACCGTTGTGCTCTGTTGCAACTAGAGGGTACCTCTAACTGCTGCTGCAACTAGAGGGTACCTCCAATGTTGTCATAAAAAGTTCTATAAAATTTTCTATATGAGTAAAATAGAAGATATGAAAGAATTTTCTAGCGTAAAAATAATTGAAAAATCTAATTTTGTAGATTTTGAGTCTGGGAAATTTCAGAAAACATTTTAAAAGTGATCTTTTAGAAGGGGACAGAACTTTTCACGCACCCTGTATTTATATTCATTTCTAATGCCCACCTTCCACGGCAGTTCTCCACAACAAAGCTCAGCCATAATATACGCGAAACTTTCAATATCATCTCGTCGACTCAATTCGATTCCGAGATGAGAATTGAGTGATGCGTATTTGGCTGTTCCGACGAGGTTTTTCCCTTTTCGATGCGGGATATGCACAAGGTTTTCACCGTCTCGATACCTAAAATATATTTTTTTCCTGGTTTGTCAAATCATTTGTTTAATTTTAAGCTTTAAGTTCCAACGTTTTCAGCTTCTTCAAACTGCTCAATACTTCAAATAAACAAACCGATATCTCCTCGCTAATCCAAAATCGATCAAAAACAATATCCTTTCATCTTCCTCAATACCGATCAGGAAATTCTCAGGTTTCAAATCTCGATGAACGAATCCCCTTTCGTGTAACCATTGCAATCGAGAGATCATCTCTTCACCCAATTTCAAGATTGTCTGAAAAAGAAAACGATAGAAACGATAGAAAACATAAATCTTCTTTTGCCACTCACTTGTCGACAAAATGTTCGATCACAATATGTAAAGAGATTCTCAAGACTTGGTCCCAACAAACTCATCACCATCATCCGTTGGCCGTAGTCCTCGCCAAACCAAAACACTAAAAATGGAGTGATATTAAAAGACGATTGGGTAATCGAGCCATAATTTATCGAATAATCGAGGTAATCGAGCAGTGTTGAGTGCGTCAGAAAGGGTGGTTTGTAAGCACAAAGCACGTAAAGTTCAATAACTTGCTTATTCTACTTTTACAAGTTCTAGATCTATAACCTTTCTAGCTCTTTATCTACATCTAATCGAATCTAATCAAATCTAATCGACTCGAATCTAAGCACAAACCACGTAAAGTCCAATAGCTTGTTTATTCTACTTTTACAAGTTCTAGATCTGTCTAATATCTAGCTCTTTGTTTACATCTAATCAAATCTAACCTTTCGGCACTCCATGTATCCCATTCGGTTTTCTTCGTTTCTTCCTCGGTCCACCAGAGAGAACTTTGTACACATCGAACTCGTACTTCAAATGAGCATCCTCATTGGCTAAAAATTGATCTATTAAATATAAATATAAATAAATATATCTAATAAATCTAAATAAATGTTTAAGTGAAGTGTATCCTGTTTTACATCCCCATGCCAATTGACCTAACCATTTTGAATTTATAATATTATTTTATCTACTTAATGCATATGTTTATCTAATCTACGCTTGAGCCAAAACTATAGCCTAAACATTTCTTAAACTTAATCTAAAGACATGATTTTAAAGTAGTCTAACTTGAGTGCACAAAACGCGTGGGGATGCATAAGAGGATAGTACCTAATAAATCTATCTAATAAATAGGAACAAAGCTATCTATTAAATATAAATAAATAGCTCAAATAAATAGCTCAAATAAATAGCTCTAATAAATAGATCTAATAAATCTCATCTAATAAATCTATCTATTAATCTAATAAAGCTATCTATTAAATATAAATAAATAGATCTAATAAATCTAATCTATCTATTAATCTAATAAATCTAATCTATCTATTAATCTAATAAATCTATCTATTAAATACAATAAATAAAACTTACAAGTCTCAAATTTCACGGCCACCAATTTATTCTCGTTTTTCAAATCTTTCGCCGAGTAGATCGTCCCGTACGAGCCGAAGTTGATCTTTTGAATGACTTGGAATCTAAATTTTAGAGTTAATAATGTTTTATCCCATTTAAGCCTTGATTTCGCATTTAGGTACACCAGAAATGGTGTGCTTATGAGCACAAAGTAATGCTAAGCATGTCCATATTAAAATTAACATAATATTAACTTACCGATTATTGATAACCAATCCGATTTTCGCTCGAATCGCATTCGATCGATCCATATCCATCACAGCATTGTTCCACGAATCAAGATTTGAAGATGGCGTTAACTGAATGGTTTTGGTTGTAAAGTAAGTACCTACATGACATGTTATCACTAATAAGTGCTCAATGAAATGCTTACCGGTTGTCCATCGGGTCCAATCAGCACATTTTGTCTTTGTGGCGTTTGGACGAACATCATCGAGTCCTAGAATTGTAAATGACACAAGAATGACACAAGAACTTGCATTTTGCGACACAAAAACACAAGAACTTGAATTTTATGACACAAAAACACCAGAACTTGAATTTTATGACACAAAAACACAAGAACTTGAATTTTATGACACAAAAACACCAGAACCTGAATTTTGTGACACAAAAACACAAGAATGACACAAGAACTTGAATTTTATGACACAAAAACACAAGAACGACACAAGAACTTGAATTTAGTCTAGTTTACAGGTAAAGTAAATGCATTTAAATGCTTTGAAGAAAGTTCTATCTAATATTGAATCCAAAATAAACATACGGGTTGCTGAAAGATCTGTTGTGGATGAACACATTGTGATTGGTAGATGTGTTGTGGAAGGGATGGAGGTGAGTACATTTGAGATATCATCGCTGCGCCATTCGGAAATGAGACTGGTGAGGGCAGCGGGGAGAGGTACTAGAAAATTGAGGATTTTTCTTCAAAGAGTTAACATGAACAGAACTTGTCATCGCTAACTAAAAGACTATTAACTAACAATGACCTAACGGAAACCTAATGATCTAAAAAACTTTAGATCTAATGGTGCTCAATAGAAATGAAATGACTAAAGATTTTAATCAGATTTTAATTCTTATCAAGATGCCTAGTGCCATAATTATACTAATAGAAGCATCCTCCTATAACGACGGCCAGAGCGTCACGTAGTCTAACTTTAAGCGCCTCGTTCTCAGCGCCGTTTTATGCTACAGTGTGCGCTCAAGTATCAAACAATAGCCCCGAATCTCAGCTATATTTTGACACCAATTTTACATTTTTTGAAAGTATGGGCGCTTTGAAAAAAATGAATTACTGGAAGAAGCTGAAAAAATTTTGCGACTACGCGACTGTACGGGGGGGGGTGCTTTTATTAGAATAATTAGGAGAATCCCTTTCAAAACCAACCATCGTTTGTCCTCCAGAAGCACTCTGCACAAAGTATCCCTTGGATTGCGGGGGGATTGGAGCGGCTTGTGGTGATAAGCAGTGATGAGACAATTGGGGTGGATGAAGAGCTGCTTGGATGGGTAAAACGGGTGGTGGAGGTGGGGGAGAAGTGAAGAATTGTTGATGGGGAGGAGGGTGGGAGAGGTGAGTGCCGGGAATCATTGACGACATCGATGATGGCTGCTGGAACATCAGGATTTGACCGGATGGCGGTGCCTGAAATCAATCTAGACTTGCTTCGTTTAATTACTCAAATTTTATCGTAATTGTATCGAAATGTACTCAAATTGTATCGAAAAAAATGATTGGGGATCGTAAAACGATGCATTTCGCAGATTCAAATGGAAATCTCGACTAGGAAATCTGTTGATTGGGGGTTTTCTTTTGAAAATGTCGTCATTTTCAAAAGAATCTCTTGTCATTCTTGTCAATTATCCCCCGGTGAGATCTCCAACAATATAACAATAGCCAATGGGGAATAGCCTGAGGAATAAAAAGGAAATGGGGAATTTCGAAAGTAAAAAGGAAACGATTGGGCTAAAGTTACATCATAGAATTGATGGTTTAGATTGGTTTAAACAGCTTAAAGCAGCTTAAAGACAGCTTAAAGCAGCTTAAAGCTCGCCTCAACTCGATAAAAATGGTTAGAGCAATACCAGTAGCTACGGAAAGCAAAAGATCTAGGGTTCAATCTCCTCTCCAGATATCTACTTTTTCTTTATTACAGAAGAAGCTACTTACAAAGCATCCAAACATCAATCATTAGCAGTCTTAACTCAAAAGCTCATCTCATAAAAGCACATGACATTTTCTAAGTCAACCACCAAAATAACGTCATTTAGTTATCAATAACAGTAACAGCTAGCAGCCATTTAGTTTCAGTGACAGCTAGCAGCCATTCAGTTCCAATGACAGCTAGCAGCCATTTAGTTTCAGTGACAGCTAGCAGCCATTCAGTTCCAATGACAGCTAGCAGCCATTCAGTTCCAATGACAGCTAGCAATAGTATCATCGGAATTCTAATACTATATTTAGAGTCCAGAAAAAGTTTTTACCTGACTCTGCCCGTGCCACGGTGCCGGTGGTGGTCGACTCATATCAGGCGGGGAAACAATCGATAGCGGTGGATGGGATTGAGATAGATGAATGGGGAATGAGTGTACATTTCTTCCATTTTGAAATGTTTGATGTTGGTGTGTCTGGAGTGGAATTGGATGGTGATGAGTGAGCACTCTTCCCATTAACATCGATCCACCCAGGGTCCCTCCGTGCACTGTTTCATAGCTGAAATTCGAAGAGTATTTGATGGAATACTTTGAAAAAAATGTAGACTGTTTAGATTTTGATTTAGATGTATATATATATATATTTATAAAGCTTTTGATAGCTTTTAAAATTACAAAGCTAAAGGCTAAGCTAATCAAAACTATATAGAATCAGTGACCCCTAAAATGGCTATAATTAGAAAAACCTATTTGAATATCTAAAAAGTTTACTACGTTACTTTATAGTACTTTATACGTTACTTTATAGTACTTTATACGTTTATAAACTTATCTACCTTTTCTATAAGCTTTTAGATTTAGAATACCGTATTTTCTCTAATATTGGATTGGTGAATTGAAAACTATTTTTATATGTGACAGTTTGAGCACTTTCTTCAAAAGAAACTCACTTTGGTGTCAATGGAAAAGTTGTAGAGAATCAAAAATCAAGCTTATATCCAAATTTTCAGAACGATTCAAAAACTGGTTTTCAAGAAGTGTCAAATTTACAAATTTTCACAAAACTTGCATTTTAAGCGAAACTACTAAGTGTATCTTTTTGGAAATTTGGCTATCAGCCTCATTTTTGATTCTCTACAACTTTTCTATTGACACCAAAATGGGTTTCTTTTGAAGAAAGTGCTCAAACTCTCTATCGGACATCTCCAGTCCTCCATTTTTGAGTCTCACACTTGTCTCACACACAAACCAAAATCAAATCAAATCAATCCTACTACGAAAGAGGAATCCGCAAATTGCCTGTAAAATGGGCAGAAGTCGTCAATAATAATGGAAATTATTTGGATTCATGGTTTTATGTTCAATAAATTTTAGTTCAAAGTCCCAAGTTCAAAGTTTTCGATTCACCAACCCAATAGTTGTGCACCCGGCCGAGCCGAGTTGACGACTATTTTACGGTTTCCAAGTTTTCACAGAAGCTCAACACTCAAATCCCCCACTAGATCTCATCGTCAGCTACATTTTCCGACCCCACATCGATAGGTTCTGATAAGCGGTTCTCGAGATTTCGAGCAATTTAGGCGACGCTCATGGTGCACTACTATTAGAGAAAATACGGTAATACTAATAAATAAAATCTGAACCTTAGAAATCTATTTCTGGGCGAGTATCAACTTGTCCGTTTCGCTAAAGCTCTATTTGAGCTGAAAAAGCGTTCATTTCCGTTCATTTAGAGTCAGATTTAGAAGATATTCATTCAGTCAAGAGATCTAGAATTTTATGTTTTATATATTTTATATAATTATAGATATAATTTATATGATTATAGATATAATTTTATATATTTAATATAATTATAACTATAATTTCCTATATCAAACTTCTATAGCTTATATAACTTCCTATATGCAATGGCCTATGTCCAATTCCCTATATCCAATTCCCTATATGCAATTCTCTATATCCAATTCCCTATATCCAATTCCCTATATCCAATACCCTATATCCAATTCCCTATAACCAATTCCCTATATCCAATGCCCTATATCCAATTCTCTATATCCAATTCCCTATATCCAATTCCCTATATCCAATACCCTATATCCAATTCCCTATATGCAATTCCCTATATGCAATTCTCTATATCCAATTCTCTATATCCAATTCCCTATATCCAATTCCCTATATGCAATTCCCTATATGCAATTCCCTATATCCAATTCCCTATAACCAATTCCCTATATCCAATTCCCTATATCCAATTCCCTATATCCAATTCCCTATATCCAATTCCCTATATCCAATTCCCTATATCCAATTCCCTATATCCAACATCAATACTCGCTCACCTATGCATTCTAGTGCTCTCCTAACCGTTGGCGTTGGGGCAGAATTCCAAGAATTCCTCGGAAAGAATTCCAAATTATTTTTCCAACATCTAAAAGTGATTTAGTTAAGAGTATATTTTAATTTATTCAAATTGATTTAGAAAAAAAAAAGAATCGCATTGTTTGTGGGCAATGGGATTCACACACCGAGGGGGGGCGCTCGGCCCCAACGCGAGATTAAATGGACCTCAGCCGGTTGGTCGGCTACGGTAGAAAGGGCAACGAATAGAGGAAATGTGCGAGCCAATAACACAAACTACGACCGAAATACAGCTAACACTCTTTCATTCGAAAGAAGATACACGTTGAGTTGACGAAAGATTGTGTTTCTGGCGATTTTCTGGCATTTTCAGGCAATTTCCTCATCGTTTTTTATCGTTTTTGTTAGAAAATTTAAAAAAAGCACTCAATTATTGATTTTTTCGAAGAATTTTTATAAAAATCGAATTTTTTGATTGAAAGCCTTTGACTTTCTAAAGAATTTTTTCATTTTTGACTTTTAATTTTGAAGAATTAAGCAATTATCGATTAAATCGAATACAGCTCTTTGAATACAGGTCTTTGAATACAGCTCTTTGAGTACAGCTCTTTAAATATAGCTCCTTGAATACAGGTCTTTGAATACAGGTCTTTGAATACAGGTCTTTGAATACAGCTTCTTGAGTACAGCTCCTTGAATACAGCTTCTTGAATACAGCTCTTTGAATCCAGCTTCTTGAATACAGCCCTTTGAATACAGCTCCTTGAATACAGCTCCTTGAATACAGGTCTTTGAATACAGCTTCTTGAGTACAGCTCCTTGAATACAGCTCCTTGAATACAGCTCTTTGTCTTTTTTAATCCTTTTTCTTTATCCTTTTTCTAAAGTAAATCAATTTCTATCAATCAATCAATTTCTAGATAAAATGGATCGAAAAGATTCGGCGAATCTCTCTTCGTCGAGTGAAGAAAATCATGGTGAAGCTCTTCTCGTTGAACCGGAGCAATCAATCGATGAAATGCTTTTCGCGGACCCAGCACTTGAACCAACGGAATTTGAGAAGCAACAAGCCGAGGATCCGTTTCTTCGACCGATCGCCGACGAGCAACAACAGTTTTATTCAGGTAACACGCGGATTGCTCGATGAAAAAACGTCGATTAATCGAGTAAAAATTACTCATGCAGATTTTACTCGAGTAAATTACTTACTCGCGAGGAACACACTCTAGTCAAAGTGCCCCAATCCCTCGTACAGTCGCGTAATCGCCGTATTTAGTATTTCATTTTTTTCAAAGCACCCGTACTTCCAAAAAATGCGTCTTTGGTATCAAAAAATAGCTGAAATTCAGAGCTATTTTTTGATACCTAAGCGCGCATTGTAGCTTAAACCAGTGTCGAGAAAAACTCGTTCAAAGCTAGAGCTACGCAACACTCCGCACCGTCTTTATGGGGGTGGGGTACTATTACAGTATTTACGGTAGTTAAGCGCTCAATTCATAGCCAGATTTCACATTAAAGCCAAATTTCAGACGATGACACGGGTCGTGCCGTCACAAACCTCATCATCTTCTCCCTTCTAATGTTCACAACGCCATTCATCGTCATGTATTTGACGTATCAATTCCTCTTCATCGATCACTTTCATTTGAGCTCCGAAACGGCGATTCTTTATTCGGCTCTTTGTGCGATCGTTTCTGTTTTAACGATCGTTATTTGGTTTGTGAAAACGGCATATAATGAAGAGGTTGAAGCAAAGAAAATATTGGATGCTGGACAGAAGAAAAGCGATTGAAATCGGTGCGAATGAAAGGTGAGACTGACTTGATTTTCATTTAAAATCATTTGCTCATTCGAGTGCTAAATAGAAAGCACAAACAAATCGTCTCTACCGTAGTCTATTTTCTATTGTGCACGATTTTGATCGAAGTCAAGATTCAAGTTTAGTCAAACATTTTTTGGTGTTTAAAAAGCTACTTTTTCGACCATATACTTTTACAGTGCTCTATTTGCGAACAATTCTGATGAACTAGTAGCATTCATTAGGTTTAGGCTTAGGCTCAGACTTAGGCTCAGGCTTGGGCTCAGGCTTAGGCTCATGCTCAGGCTTAGGCTCATGCTCAGGCTTAGGCTCAGGCTCATGCTCAGGCTTAGGCTCAGGCTTAGGCTTAGGCTCAGGCTTAGGCTCATGCTCAGGCTTAGGCTTAGGCTCAGGCTTAGGCTCATGCTCAGGCTTAGGCTTAGGTTTAGGCTTAGGCTTCCTATAGCACTTGTTTCCCACAAATAGACCCTTTTAGTAACAAAAATTTTTCAGAAACTTGTACAACACGTGAAGAGACGGGCCAAGTCTTTCAAATTTTAAATGGATCAGTCATTAAAAACTTTAACAAATTTGTACTCTACATTCCAAAATCTTGCTTTTCTTTAGATACAAAAATCTAATTTTTAAAATTCACTTATCCCCGATCACTTTTGTCAAGCCACTCGATTTCTACGATCTTTGCTCAACTTCCAAAAATTTCTTCAGAAACTTCTATATCGCTAGATTTTAGCTCTTAGTACAATTTCGAACCCCCAGATTTCATTGTTATTTCTTTTTCCATACATGAAACGATTTTTGACTTTTTATTCAAAACGTTTGCACTCATTCACAATAATCACTAACACTGTACAAACATAAGGAGGAATAAATCACACAAAAAGTTCAACTCAACATATAACATGACAAAATGGTAGAAAGGCTGAAAAGTTGCTATATTCGATTCAGGTATGCGGAAAATACCCGAGTCCAAAAAAAAGTTTCAAAAAGAAGGGAAATCAGGAATGGAAAAAACCGTTATAAACAAAGCTGCAGCTACAGTGAAACTCATACGTGTTAGGTAGATAAATGGTATGTACAAGTTAAAGAGGTAAAAATTGATACAGAGTTAAAGCAAGGGGAAAATTTTTAGACAAACAGTCTACGAGCGCCAGCGCTTCGGAAAAAAGGCTGACAGGGAAAATTTTAAATGAAATTAAACAAATTTCTAAAGTTTTACGGTTTTCGTTGGGGAAATGTTTGTCATTTGGACTAGGAAACAAATTAAAAGCTCACTGAGAATGCTTACGTTGGAAAAAAACCAGGCTGGGATTTAGATGAACATAAAGAATATAGGACACGATATATGTAAGTTAGGGGTTAGTGACAGCAAATGGGCGAAATTGGCTGGATAGGATGGCCGTACCCGCGTGGAGAACCCTTAAAAGAATCAGTTTCAAGTTTTCAAATAGAAACTTCAGTCGTCTTGTCTAGCAAAGTCTAACAACTGAGCTGACAGCTATCAAACAGCAATCACTTCAACCAACCATCGAAGCATTGGAGATCCTTGAGTAGAGAGTGTGGAGCCATCATCGCTCCTCTTCTGAAGACCATATTGAGATTTACTGCCTTGCGAATCGTTCGAGCTGACGGAGTAGGAACGAGGCCTGAAAGAAGAAAAATGAATGTCGAAAATGGGTATTTTCTTCTAATGAGCTTAATAGTTCAAGATATCATTACTGCTAGACGTTACTATTCACACAGCTAGCAAAGTAAAAGACACTTAATGAAAAACTAACCTTATCTGACAATCCTTATTTGGTGTGGAAATATTTGTCGTTGAAGAACAAGACGAAGCTGTATCCGATCCATCCGATAGTGAAGTAGTCGAAGAAGAGTTTGTTGATGAGACGACACGGAATGATGGATGGTACGCATAGAAGTTGAATACGCGACGATAACTAAAAACTAATCATTATGAAGTTCAACTTATAATTAAACTTAAATCGTGCTTAAAAATGTTTATGTAAATAACTGCAAAAGCAAACTCACGTAGTATCAGTGTTGGTGGCAAGTCGTACCATCAAACCATCGATTTTTGCCTCACAACGCCACCTGAACTTAATATTTAGTAAGGCAAAAGATAGTCATTAGAAAGTATTCAACTTGGGTTAAAATGAATAAATTACCGTCCAAATTGAGCTCTCAAATCTTTGTGCAGTGAATCGAGTCCCTCTTCAACAATCACTTCAAGGACAATTTCTTCGGGATAACGTGGAGGTGGATCCATTCCTGAAAAGAAATCATAGTTAAGAACAACTATGTTGTCGAACAATTACTTACCAAGTAAGTTAATGTATGGAATGCACAGAAGTGGAACAGGAATCCGACACGCAAATGGGCGAACCGTGTATAGAAGAGTTCGAAATGGGAGAGGGCTTGGATTTCCACTAAAATACACGTGATTATTGCGTTTTAAGGACACTTTCAAGAAGTCAAGTGCATATTACCACATGCTTATCCTATTCAAACGAACCTTGGTTTAGCAATGAGATGACCCAATTTCACAAAGGCTTGCCCGGTCACCAAAGCATCATAGGCCGCATTGTGAAAGGTTGTTCCTAAAATGAGAAATGTAACAGCATGACCTGACAATAAACTACGTTTATATTTATTCCGTCGCGATGTCCTTCCAGTAACCGAAAATCCGTGTGAATACTCAAATGTTGGAAAAGTGCCGAGTCGACTTGGGGCCTCACTAAAAAAAAAATTTAATTACTCACAATTTTGAAGTCAACTTCTTCTTGAACAAAGCAAACCTTTCGCAAAATGAGCTCAAATTCTCTAAACGAAAGTCGACGATTCCGTGCCAGGACAATTGCTAAACAAAAAGCTAATATATAAAGCTTGACTTTAGTTACATTTTTGCTTTCTTCCGCCAAGATCTTTGTGTCGATGACAATCGGGAAAACGGCAGTCGCAACTTCTTTGAATTTCTCGTAGTCATCTAAAGTTGGAATCGTTGTATTTTGACAATAATAAAAAATCATTCAGTTTTTCTTTTAATATTTGTTTGTTTTATACAGTAAAAACCTTACCAGGCAAATCTGCAATAAAATGTTGATACAAGTAAAGGAGATCAAAGAGACAATTGTGGCCGATGATTGGCTAAAAGTTAAACCTATTGAAAAAAAGTTGAGATTTCACAAACCAGCCGATTCTCAATAATTGCCATTACAATGTCCGATGCACCGGCCAATTCATTCACTGCTCTAAAATGAAGTTTTAAAAAAACAACACAAAACAAACGTTTTCAGTAGATCGGCCTTCTTTTCTTTTACTTCGTCAAGAGATGGGCGGACTGGAGAACAAGTGAGCTAAAAGAAAACAATTGAGTCGTTGCAGAAAGATATGCTTGATCTTTACTTACTTCTCAAGTTATAATAGGTTGTGCAAGATCAGGAAGTGCATTTTAACTTCAAAATCAATTACCAAATTTCCAGTGATATCCAGTCGAATCCCCGGTACCGTTGCGTACAGTTTGTAGAGCAAAAAGGCGTTGTGAAGAGGGCTCATCTCAGTCTCACCGATGAGGATGTGAAATTCTTCCCAGATTCTAAAATTTCAGATCAAGTTTACCGTTTGTGGTTCATAATATTTCGCCTAATGAACTTGAGCGCTTACAAATCTCTTGCTCCCTCGCTCCCGGTCGTTTTGCGTCGAATTTTAGCCAATTTTGAGTGGAGAATCGATTGAATATGCTCGAAGAGTGATTGAAATTCATGCGAGAAGTACCTAAACCAAATTTTTAATAGTTTGTTGATAATTTTATGCCATAGTTATTGCACCCACCAAGCTTTACAATTTATTAAGGATTTAATAGAAATGTCCCCTTGACTAGTGTACATTTGAATACACTATACATATGTATAGTGTATTCATTTTAATAGATAGGCGCTAAGGTTTCTCATCTTTTAGCACGAAAATACATTCCTTTTTGATATGACTAATTCCAAAACGTCGATTCCCGCCGGTCATTTGTCATTGCGCGCCAAAAGGGAACGCTGCGGTGGAAAAAAAACCGGCCGGTCACGCGCTCGGGAAATTCCCTCTGGGCAAACAGTTTCAGGAATTGAAATCATTTTATATTTGTGTTGGAAAGAAAAAAAATCCAGGTTTAAAGCATGTTATCACTTTTAATTTAAAAATAGTAAAATATACCGAGCCGTGTCATTCTTTGATGTCAATTCGTCGAGCGCTTTCTTCTGCTCATCCAAATTCAGATGAGAAACACCCTCCGAAATCAACTAAAAAAAATATGTAAGAAAATCTGCAGCATTCAACAAAATACCTTGTTAAAATCGAAGCCATGTGATTCGAGAAACGCCAATGAAGCAACGGAGAACGAACATTCGTGTCGGGAGAGGCCATTTTTGAAGAGGAACACATTGTAGACATCGACTTTGTATCTAAACAATCTTTTAAAATTTGCAAACTTTAAAATCGTACTTGAAGCCCGAGTCGTGTGCTGTAAAAAATGCGATGCCGAGTTGAATGGGTGGGAATCGCTGCACAGAGGCCCGCTGCTTTCGATATCTGAACAATAAATCATTGATGGATATTCAAAACAAAAATCTTTGTTCAGATCTGCCACCAATCTATTAAATTTTTTCCAACAACTAAAGGGGGAAGTCTCTGTTGTTTTTGTTGACACAAAATGCTTTCAAATTAAAGAGCAAATGATGACGTAAGATTGTCAAAAAATTTTGCAGCCCCGCTTGAGCAAAAGTGATCGAGACTTGGTAATTGATCGAGCAAAGTAACAAAATAAATAATTTTCGACTCACCTATCCGCGGGAGAATCGAAAAGCGAGCATTTTAGAGTCGAATCCTCCGGGTCGAGGCCCAAAAACTCGACGTCAACAGCTAAAAAGAAAAATGTAAACGCAGAAGTTAAAAATTTACACAATTTTTACAAACTTTATAAGAAATTTTTGCCAAATCGTCAAAAACTTGCCAACAAACGAGGCCTTCTTCACCACATTTTCGAGGTCACGATAAATCTCCTTGAAGTTATTGCATGTTATTTCCATACAATAAGTTGTTACCTAAATGAAAAAACTTTATAAAAATCAGGTTTCCAATGAAAGATTTGCGAAAAGCAACGAAATTTCGATTTTTTTTCGAAAAATTGCGAGCTTAGGGGAATTGCGATGGGAAAACGCGTGTCGATCTAAACAATTCTAAAAACGCGAAAAGATTACAGTAGGAGGAAGCGCGCGATGGGACCGGAGAAAGCCGATTAAGAAAAAGAGGAACACCTGGTGGGAATTTTTGCCCGATAAGTCTGTCTAAAAGGCGGCTATACTCCTACGCGAGTACTTAGAATGTATTTTTGAAAAATGATCTGAGGAGGTAAAAGAGTCACGTACAGATTCTTGGTAAAGGCTTCTGCTACCTAACAAAATAAAGGAACCTTGCATGAAGGTTAGCCCGCAAATGAGATGCTAGCTTGTATATATGTTGCGTCCAAATCCGAGCACACGTCCTGCTCCGAGTCGGACGTCCGAATCCGAATATTTTGAAACATTCAAACTTTGGATTTCTCAAAAAGTGTGGCCTTTGAGAATCGTTCGCTTTTCGTCCACTCAAGTAAACAGTGAAAGTATGAGGATCTAGAGTTTCTAAAAGAAATATTTCAGAGACGTAATTACAAATCGAACCTTGAAAAAAGTGTAGTTTTTTCAAAGAATGAATCAAAGAATGCTCGGATTCGGACGTCCTACACGGAGCAGGACGTGTGCTTTCCAGGACGGCTTTCCCGCTGATTGTTTGAAAAATTGACATTGCACCTCCTCTACCGTAGTCTGTTACCGTGTCCGTTTACGCCATTTTCTCTTCGCAAAGTATATCATTCCACTCCCGCCGACATTTTCCATTTATTCATAGGGAGTGGGACAAATGCGACCTTTTTTTGCGCACCTGAACATTTGCGCACCTTTTTTTTGCTGGAAAAGGCCTTAGGAAAGGTCGTAGAGCTTCAAAAGTGTTTTCATAGAAAGGAATCGTATGCGTAGATTCCGAATTTCGACAAATCACCTCGCTGACACGTCAAATTTGGGCTAAAAGGCAAAAACTGCGGAAAAGCGTTAAGTTGCGTAGTTTTTGCCTTTTAGCCCAAATTTGACGTGTCAGCGAGGTGATTTGTCGAAATTCGGAATCTACACATACGATTCCTTTCTATGAAAACACTTTTGAAGCTCTACGACCTTTCCTAAGGCCTTTTCCAGCAAAAAAAAAGGTGCGCAAATGTCCAGGTGCTCAAAAAAAAGGTCGCATTTGTCCCACCCATTTATTCATATTAGGCTGTCCAGAAAGTCTTTTGGTTCCTTTTTCATTTGTTGGTTTTAAACGGAAGTACGAAAAGGCTTTCTGGACAGCCTGATATGAAGATGTCAATATCTAATTTTTTTTGTTATTGCTGCTGGAGTTGAACAATTGAAAGCTTATGTTACACAAAAACTCAATCTTTTGCTAAAGGACCTCCAGCGTAACTCTTTTTTTCAGCGTGACCCGGGTTTGCACCAGACAGAATCGACCCTAAAACTTTAAAATTTAATGCAATTGCACTTAGCGTTGGCATTTCTACCAGTGGCAATAATTAACCTCTTCTCCCTTGGATCTACATTTTTGTCAAATTTAATGCCCATCCACTACCCTTTACTTGGTAACCATCAGATCACTTTTTTTTTTGTTTTTACGTTATTTTACTTCAACCTAATCATTATTTTTTAGGAAAATGGTCCTCGTTTCGGGCAAAAAGCTGAAGTTGGTCAAAAAGAGGGCTCGCCGTTTCACTCGTCACGAGTCGGACAGATATCTACGCATTCGACCGAACTGGCGACGACCCCATGGCATCGACAATCGAATGAGACGCCGATTCAAGGGAACAAGGGAAATGCCCAACATCGGTTATGGAAACAACAAACAAATCAAGCACGTCCTTCCCTCCGGCTACCAGAAGGTCCTCGTTCACAACCCAAAGGTATTTTTTAGAACTTTATATTACATGGTAATATTCATATTTGGCTGGAAAATAGCAAAAACCTAGCAAAAACCAACGTTTCTAAACCAAAAAAACGTCTAAACGTTCCCTTATTTTGCAAATAATTGATTGAACGTGTACAAGCTATGGTTATAGCTTGATACTTTCAAAAATCAAATTCTATTTTTTAATTTTCTTCGATTTTAAACAATGTGTTTAAAATGTGCTTGCAAAGTTTTTTTGTTATTCTAGCAACAATTATCTGAAGGAATTCTTTCAGATATAAGGTAGCTGATCTAGAAGACGTAGGCTGTAAAAGGATGATTTTATTTATTATCTTTTTAGGAACTCGAGATGCTCTTGATGCAAAACCAAAAGTATGCTGCCGAAATCGCTCACGCTGTTGGTGCTAAGAAGAGGAAAGACATTGTCGAAAGAGCAAAACAACTAAACATCAAATTGACCAATGGTAACGCACGAATTCGGACTGAAGAAAATGAATAAGGTGTTAAATAAATGTTTTTGGTTATTTATGATGAATCTTTTTCAGATTTTTCGCGTTTTATAATTAATATTGAGGAAATTTAAAAGTACCCCAGTGGGGAGAAAGTAGCAGGTGTTTAGGGATCTATTTAGGAATAGAACTTAAAGAATTTTGACTTTATCCATCTTCCAAAACAGCCCAAAATTAATGCAGAAACATTGAGTTTTGCGTCATGAATCGGATCGATGTCTTCTTGTTTGAGGAACAGATACGCAGATCCACATTCAATATCAATACATCGAGTACCCGTTTTATCTACATCATTTTTTGGACAATCGAGCGCGATCAAGACTCGATCTCGTTTTTCAGAAATAGTTGTCAAATAGAAAAAGAAATAGTTGGATATCTCCTTATAATCCTCCGATTGCTATTTACAGTCGAAAACCTCATTATGTTCTGCGGCATTGTTCAAAGATACCCATTTTGCAAGGTACTCAAAAGATTTTCGAAATTTCTCAGGTTCAAAGAAGCAACCACTCCCTCATTCTGATAAACTGATAATACCTTACAGTATTTTTCAGGGTGACAGAAACACTCGTATTTCAGTCGTGCTTTCAACTGAAACGTACAGTTGACAGGGAAATCGAGTAAATCACTAGTTGAATGTCTTTGCAATTGAGCTATTACAGTGGGTCGAAGTGGACGTCTCGGACGAAATTGACTAAAGGGTCCTATCACAAAGGACCAAGCGCACCCAAAGATAATTGGGTATTTTTCAAAATAAAACTATCCGTTAAAATGGGAATTAATTTTTGTAGCTTTAACTCAGACATTTTCACGATTACGCCAATTTTCTTTGATCAATTATCTTTGAACAATTATCTTTTTAGAAAGAGTTCGCCAACAAGAGTTGTATTTGATTTCACTTTTCCCGAATTTCAGATAATTTGGATTTGAGATAGTTTCTTCTTTTAATAAACTGCACATCATGTTTTGTGAAAACAAAGATAACTCTTGTCCCATTGGCGTAATCGTGAAAATGTAGTTTTTGTAACTTGACTCCTTTAAGTGTTTCTATTTTCTCGAATTGATGAACTCTTTCCTAAAAAGCTGCCCACATTTTCTTTGAATGAACATTTGATGATTTCCCCAATGAATCAGCATAGAGATCGTTTTGGTGATTGACCTGAAATGTTTGACCTAACTTGTAATTGTTACCTACAAAACCTGTGGTTCTCGAAAAAGTCCCATCGCTTTGGGACTCATAATTTAGAGTTCCTTTGATGCTTATTTTCTCAGACTCATCCATTCGGCGAATTTCAGGATAAAGTCGCTGTCGGATTGATTCTTTGGAGAAATCATCAAATGATAAAGTTTTTGGAAAGAGGAAAGGAAAACGCAAAATTTCGGTTTCAAATCTCGATGAATGATCCGATTTGTAAGTAAGCGGGTCTATCCCAAAACAGCGCCGCCAAAACAGCGCCGACCAAAACAGCACCACCCAAAATAGCGCCGTGCCCAAAACAGTGCCAATGAAAAAACGTTTTTTGGGCGTTTTTGCATTGGCGCTGTTTTGGGTACGGCGCTGTTTTGGCGGCGCTGTTTTGGCGGCGCTGTTTTGGTCGGCGCCGTTTTGGGATAGACCCAAGTAAGCATTCAAGTGATGCGAATAAATGCTTAGCTAAACAGAGGAGCGTTTTCAATGAAAACTTTTCATTGTATAAACAATTTTTCGATAATCACGTACTAAAAGCTTAAAGATATCGTAAACAAAAGTTTGCTAATTTATCGCTTAAATAAATCTCCCGGTTTACTGTAGTAAGTCAAGAGACTGGAACTTTATAAAAGTTTAAAAAAATCGTGCTTTCTCACCGTCTTTGAGTGGTCCATTTACACAGTATTCCATGTGATTCACAAAAATGGATTCTATCATGAAATTTGAGAAGTGAACGGTGATTTGATGATGAACAGCTTTCCAATCAAAATCGGGAAGTCGGCCAAATGCGACATTTCAATCGACCAATCGTCGCCAAATATATTTCGCGAAGAGCAGACGCAGAAAACAAGCGATTTTGGGGAGTGAGACAAATGCGATCTTTTTTGCGCACCCGGCCCATTAGCCCACCTTTCACGTTTTAAAAAAAGCTCTAAAAAGCTAACATTAACCAATTTCTATTCCAAAAGTTGTTTTTCTGGATAATTTTAGGGCGTAGAATCGAAATTTTGACATATCAGAGCTTGTGGAAGCAAAAGGACGGAGTTATACATCGGGAAATCGGGACGGGAAAAATCGACAATTTTCTGTAATTTGATCCACCCGTTTTACAATTCAAATTAGTTTCACAAGCTCTGATACGTCAAAATTTGGATTCTGCACGCTAAAATTAGCCAGAAAAACAACTTTTGCAATAGAAATTGGTTATTATTAGCTTTTTAGAGCTTTTTTAAAAGATGAAAAAAGGTGCGCTAATGCTAAATGCTAATGGGTGCGCAAAAAAAGGTCGCATTTGGCCGACTTCCCGATTTTGATGGATCGCATTTGTCTCCCTCACCAAAATCGATCG